CAGTTTACCCTTTATATATACACGTACACGCAAAACTCATTAATAGTTCTTACAAAAATATGTAAACATATAATAACATGAACAACAGTCACATGCAATGCCATTTCCCAAAATACTAATCAATTTATTGCATCTTACAGAAATTACATCTGATCCATCTCATTATTATTAATCAATCCCAGCCGTCCAAAAACTGTTAACTACTTAACTCTTATAGTCACGAAAAACAAAGAGAAAAAGACTCGATACACAATATTTGGCTACTCAATTCGATTGCCCATTGTCTCACAATGCCGCCAACGCCAAGTAGCACCATACAAAAGTTTTAAAAAATAAAAAATACAAAGTCGAAATTTAGAGGGAAAAGTTATGTTGCAAATTGTAGCTAATTATTTTCTCGATTGGATTTTGGTTGATATTTGCAGATTGTCTGGCGTCGGATGAATTGCAGAAGGAGATTAGACCTTCATGCTTTGAGCCCAAATATTATAAAGGTCTACTTGATTACTGATTCAAAAATTTTTTTGTATTGCTGATGATGGTTTCTGCGATGACATGCTCAACATACGAAGAATTTCTATTTGAAAAGAATCGAGTTAGTTATAACAAAAATTCATAGTGGGACGTGAGGGTTGTAGTTGGATAAAATTATTCTGTGTGTTTGGATAGAATATTGTTGGTGATTGTCGAATATTGGATAGTAAGAATAGAAGAGATAAGTTTGGAGCTGGGGATGAGTTAAGAATATGGGGGGGAGGGGGGCGGTGTTGATTTCTTGTCGAGGGCAACTCGAATTGTATATTTTTATCTTCATATTTCAATATTTTTGATAGTGAATTAAGTTTGGGTTGGAATCTCTAAATGTAGGTTGTTGCAGTCAAATTGGGTTAATAAATGTTTTGTGCTTTATGTTCATATCGTCACCAGTATGCAATGACGGATTAAGCGAGGGGCTCGGGGAGGTTGGAGCCCCCTTGAGCCAACGAGAAAATTTCTACGAGTAGGCATTATATCTCGGGTTTCAGTTTTCAACTCCCTCGATTCTACCCCGCAAATCCCTCAGTGATAATCGCAGTTGCAACCCTCACTCTCTACCCTCCCCTGCCAATTTGCCATGGCCGGTTTGTTCCGGTCTATTGTAATTATGATTTATGATTTTAGTCTAGTAATAATAATTTAATTTGACCCAATCAATATTAATAATTTAATTAAATAAAAATTTGATAAAAGATAATTTTGGCTAAGGGCTCTAGTCAACTTCGCGGTCATAATTTTCCCGCTACAAAATTTGGTAAGATTCGAAGATCATTTCAAGATCAATGGTTCAAAACATATGATTGATTAGAGTAGAAATATCTAAAGATGCCACATATTGTTTATGGTGCTATTTTTCTTTGATGGGCATAAGCATGAGGATATTGCATTTACTGAAATTGGTTTTAGAAAGTAGAAGAAAGCTAGAGAAAAATTCAATAGTCACATCAAGGATCAAAACTAGTTTTCACAATTTTGCTATAACTATGTATGTTGGATGGATATAAAGATCAAAGAAGCAATGTGAATTATGTTATAATGCAAAAAAAAATAAAAATGTAACGGAGGATACTTATCGGACTCGATTGACCGCAGTTGTAAAAGTGATTTGATAAATTTTAGGGTTGGACTTAGTTTTCTGTGGCCATGATGAGTCAACACAATTCATACGCCCTGAGAATTTTCTTGAGTTTTATAAGTAGTATGGTGATAAAAGTGACAAAGTTGGAAAGGTAATTGATTTAAATGATCCAGGAAATAACCAATTGACGTATCCATATATTCAAAAGCAAATTATCAATCCTTGTAGTTCAGAAGTGAGAATTTTATTTTGCTAGAAATTGGGGATAGATGATTTTGATTGATGAAGCTCGAGATAGTTCTATCAAGAAACAAATGTCTTTAAATGTAAAGTTGGTAATGATCTTGGAGAGGTTAAAGAGCGATTTATTGGTGTTGTACATGTTACTGAAACTTCTACACAATCTTTGAAGAATATCATTGATAAATTTATTGCAAAAATGGATTATCACTATCGATGGTTAGAGGTCAAGATTATGATGAGGCTTCTAATATGCATGGAAAATTTAACAGGCTTTAAACCCTCATTTTGAATGAAAATGAACATGCATAATATATTAATTGTTTTGCACATGAACTTCAATAAGTTACTGTTTCTTGTATCAGTCATAATGAGCCTGTAAGCAATTTTTTTGAATATATCTCTATGATTGTAAATATTGTTAGAGCTTCGTTAAGATGAGAGATGAATTGAGGCAACGTCAATTTGATGATTTTACAAGATATGTAGAATTGAGCGATGTTGCTAAAGAAAAGGGAATGAATCAAGAAATGAGTTTTGCTCAAGCCGGTGATACTCATTGGGGTTCTCATTTCAAGACAATCACACGAATTTTTAATTTGTGGAATCCAATGAACATAATGATTGAAATTATAGCTACAGATGACAGTGATGTGAAAAGTCGAGGATTTGTTGTGGAGTTGTTTAACGAGATGAAAAATTTTGAATTTGTTTTGGTAGGTCAATTGATGAGGCATCTATTAGATAAAACAAATTCATTGTCACAAGCTCTTCAACAAAAGAATTAGAATATAAAAAATGCAAATAAAATTAAAAATAAGTTTTTAAAATAATTTTAAAAAATGAAATAAAAAATAAAAAATTCACGTGTCCACCAGTTGTCGCTGACCTGGCGGGACATCTGGCGGATACGTCACCTCCGGCGAGCCATGCGGGCGTCTCCGGCGTCGGAGGACTAAAACAGCAAAAATTTTTCACTTATGGGACTAGTTTGCGAAATGCTTCATTTACGGGACTAAAATAATAAGAGGATCCAATTATGGAACTAAAAAAAACAATTTACAGTAAGAAAATTGAATATATAATGTGATATTTTGTAGAAAATAAAATTACCGATTCCGTCCATTTGAAATATATATTATCATTTTTATTGTCAAAATACATTATAAATATTTAATTTTTTTAAATAGATTTGATCATTTTACATATCATAAACATCTTCAAACTTACACTTAATATTTACGTCAAATTATAACATGAGAACAATTTTTTTTTATATTTTTTTTGTATACAAAAGTCACATAATTTGATAGTTAAATACTACTCCCTCCGTCTTAGATACCGTGTTTGTTACACTGTAGACACGGTATTTTAGGAGGGGTGTAATTAGTAGATAATTAAGAATGTATTAGTGAAAATAATTATTCTATAATATAAATAATTATAAATTAAGATTAAGATAACTAATTAGTTTAATTAAAATTTTAAAAAAATAAAATTAAAAAATTTAAAATGAGATTAAAGTGTGTAATCATTTTCAAAAAAAGGAAAGTGACATGGAATGTGGAACGAACAGAAACGACAACGTGGACATGATATTTGGAACAGAGGGAGTATCATTTTTTAAAACCTATTTCTTTTAGACTCTAATTAATTCTACAATTAAAAATTTGACCCAAGTGTCCTCATGCGCCGGAGTTGCTGGCGTAACGACATTGTGACACATTGAGATTGTGTCGTGACAAACGGACAATGTTTAAGGATTATTTCCACCAAATTTTTAGAACTAATTCAATACAAAATTTACATATGATTCTAAAAAAATTTCTTAAATAGATGTTTATCTGTTATTCATAACACAATATTGTCGCGCCAACAACTTCTGTCATCCTTTTTTTTTTTTTTTTTTTTCTTTTTTTTAAATTATAAAACTAATGCAGAGATCGTCTAATCAATTCAATCAACATATATAATAAAAATATAGTCCAACGTACCATATTTATAAGATAACTTATGTTGTACTATATAAAAAAAAAATATATAATGGATGCTTTATCATATATGCTAATGAGTCTTATCACTATAAAGTTGTTTTGACCCAATCAACATTAAATTCGAGCTCATAAAACTAATTTAATACTCCCTCTGTCCTATTCACGTTTCTTTTCGTTTTATATCTCATGTCATTTTTTTAAAAAAAAAAAAGGAAAAAGAACTACACATTATAATTTCATTTAAAAAATTTTAGTTTAATTTCTAATTTTAATTAAACTAATTAATTATCTTAATTTATTACTCTCTCCGTCTACTTACTATATCCACCTTTTTAATTCTCTATGTCTTTTGCTTATTTTGTCACATTTTGTTTTTAAAAAAGTTACACTTTAAACTTATTTTAAATTTTTTAATTTATGATTTTTAAAATTTTAATTAGACTAATTAATTATCTTAATTTTAATCTATAATTATTTTTACTATACAATAATTATTTTTATTAATATATTCTTAATAATTTACTAATTATACTCTTCTAAAATTTTTGTATCTACAGTAAAGTAGACATTATAGCATGACAAAAAGAATATTATTTATATCAAATAGTAATTATTTAATTAATATATTTTTAATTATTTACTAATTATATTTATTTTAAATTTTCGGATTTACTGTAATCAAATTTGATAGTCGAAATGAAGAAAGTACAAATTTTATAGATAATCTTAAAATGATAGTGGTCACCGTACTGAAATAAATAATACTCTCTTACGTACGGCTCTAATAGTCTCATTTACTTTTTGTCTGTTCATATTTAAATATTATTTATTATATCAAAACATAGTACGAAATAAAAAATTACAAAATACTTTCATTAGTGTTTTATAATTCTAACAAAAGAATATTTGTAAAAAAAAAAAAATTATATAAATACAAAAATATTTTAAATATTAAATATAATAATTCAAAAGTTAAATGTAACCGGGAGTAAGTAAATAAAATAATTTTCCTATTGTTTTGTAATATTTCCATAGAAAGTAAATGTAAATGCTAAAAGAGAAAGAGTCCAAATCCCTTAAAAAGAAATTTGGATATTTAACAAAAAGCAAACCTCCATTGGAGTTGGGAGTCCTTCATAGCCGCCTATGACTCACCTATGGCTACCTAAGCTAACCTCTGCCGTTTCTCTCGTCATTCACACTCCAATCTTCCATGTGAAATCGCCACCGCCTCACCTATACATACATACATATATATATATATATGTCTATATACACGCCCCCAATTAACTTCTACATATTTCATCATTTCCTCTCTGCTGTGTTGTGTTGTGATCATCAGATTCAGAGATGTGGTTTCGTTAATCAGGACAGGGGAGGGAGGAAAAACCTCACTCAGATTTTCCTACTCGAACCAGAAGGAAATGCGACTGCAGAATGATCCATTCAACAATCAACAACATAATCATTCCGCGTTGGACGATTCTTGATCGAGTTTTTACGTTCGATTCTTCTACTGATCGGTACTGATGGAGACGAAGCTCACTTTCGGTTTCGTTGTTGCTTTGATTTCTGTCTCCGTTTTCTTCGATTCTAGTTTTGTTCGTGCTCAATCAGCCTCGGGAGATCCTTTCAACTACATATTTGGTTCGTTGCGTTTCCTTTCGTTTCGATTGATCAATCCCCTTCTCCCTTCTCTGTTTTGGTTTTAATTCCGATTTCTAGGGTTTATGTTCGTTATCGTATCTCTTTGCCGTAATTCTGACTATTTACTGTTTTTCTTTTCTCTGTTAGTAAAGAGTTCCTGTTGCTTTTTGTCTTTTTGTGATTGATACTTATCTTTCTTCGTTTGATTTCTCTTTTCTTGGAAGATATATATATATATATATTTGTATGTATTGACTGTGTTGTGAAAATTCCAACAGATTGTTCAATGTGTTCATCGATTGAAATTGACATTGAAATGAATTGATTTGAATTACTTAGGATTCAATTTCGTATTCGAAACTTTGTTCGATCATTACATTTGATATTGCAGATTGCAATTAGCTCTGTTCATCGATTGAAATTGAAATGAATTGATTTGAATTACTTAGGATTCAATTTCGTGTTCAAAACTTTTTTCGATCATTGCATTTGATATTACAGATTGGAATTAGCTCTGTATCTTTGTTGTATTAATACATTAGTTTGTGTATTTTGTTGTGTTCTTCATATTGTATGTTTTGATCCTTATTTGTGTAGACGAACACAATGCCGGTTCGTGGAAGGACGAAATAATGAGTTCTATAACCCAAGTTCCCGGCCGCGGCGCTGACGATACACCAAAACTTGTATTGGCGGCGAATAGGACAGAGAGGCCCGACATTCTCTCCGAATTTCGAAAATACAGAGGCGGATGGGATATCTCCGATCGACATTATTGGGCTGTAAGCTCGACATTTCTTGCTTTACAATGTTATCATTTTCGCCCCCGGCTAGAGTTTCATCACTTTGTGTCCAGTCTGTCGGATTTACAGGTGCTCCGGTTTTTATTCTTGCCGTATTATGGTTCGTCGTATTTGGAGCCGCGCTTTTGGTTTATTACATCTGTGGGAGGAAGCTCAACATCTGTGGCCAAAGTTCCAGCTGGTCGTCGAAGATTTGCATCATATTTCTCGCTGTCTTTACATCTGCGGCAGTGTAATCTTCTAGAACCATACCTTTTCGTCGAACGAGTATTTATCCATTTTTGGCGCTTATGGCGCATCGAAAATTGAGTGTTGAAATGGGATTTTTCGGGGTTTTACGATGTCGATTTTATTTACCTCGTCTCCAGGACTGGATGCATTTCACTTTCCGTTGGACAAGAAAAATTTCACAAAGAAACATTCGACACCGTGGATTATCTTGTGAACCAGTCGGAGTACACCGTGCACGTGCTGAGAAATGTCACGGGATATCTGTCGCTCGCGAAGAACATCAGCGTCGCGAAGAATTTCCTTCCATCGGATGTCATGGACGACATCGACAGAGTAAATTTGGAACTGGAAAACTCTGCCGATACTTTGGAGGTGAAAACTAACGAGAATTCGGCCGAAATACAGAAAATCTTCGACGCAGTGTATGATCCGTGGCTTGATAGTATTCGTCCATTCTTTGAATCGTTCTCTTGCGCCGTTTAGACTAATTGCGATTTTCTTGTTCTAGAGAATCGGCGCTGATCGCTGTTGCTGTGGGAACGCTTCTTGTATCGATTCTAGGCCTCGGTAAGTATTGTAGATTCGTCTTTTCGATTAATTTGAGTTGGTTTTATTGTGTTCGAGATTAAATTTCGTGTTTTTCTTTTTGTTACAGTGCTGTCGATCTTTCGCCATGGCCACATAATTCACATGTGAGCTATACTACCGATATTTCGACTAGTTTTTAATCGATTTTGCGCGTTTAAAGTTTGCGTTAATATACATATGCAGATTCATCGTTAGCGGATGGCTACTCGTCACAATTACGCTCATCCTCTGTGGAGCTTCGACTATCATCGACAAGTAAGATCGTCTATCCAATTTTGCTCGGTAAATATAAACGCTTTTTTCATTCGATCGTCGTTAAAACAAATCTCGTCTTACTGATTCAGCTCGATATCCGACGCTTGTATGGCCATGGAAGAATGGGTAGAGAATCCGCATTCGGAGACGGCCCTGAGCGACATCCTGCCGTGCGTCGACGAGAGCACGACAAACCAGACCCTGTTCAAGAGCAAACAAGTCATCAACGATATCGTAAACATCGTCAACGAGTTTTTGGGCTCGGTCGCAAACTCGAACCCGAACCCGACCCCGAACCCGTCTTCGTCGTACTACAACCAATCGGGCCCGTCGATACCCCCGCTCTGCTACCCGTACGACTCCGAGCTGCAAGATCGAAACTGCTCGGCACAAGAGCTATCTTTCGACAATGCGACTCTTGTAAGACAATTGAATTTCCCGAGTTTCGATCCTTTCCCATTATATCGATCATCGACTTCTTTTTTTCGCGCAGGCTTGGCGGAGTTACGCTTGCGTTGCGACGGAAGATGGCGTCTGCACCACCACCGGGCGGCTGACTCCCGAGATGTACGCGGAGCTCGTCGCTGCGGTGAACGTCGGGTACGCGCTCGAACACTACGCCCCGCCGTTGCTAAACCTTCGGAACTGTAATTTTGTGCGGGACACGTTCAGAAACATCGCACGGAACTATTGCCCGCCGTTGGAATATTATATCGGCGTCGTGGATGCCGGATTGGCGTTGATCTCGGCCGGGGTGATGATCAGCACCGCCCTGTGGATTGCGCGCGCTGACCGGAATCCGATGCAGGTCGGGAGCGTTTGTTCGGAATCGTCGGCGCCGACGCCGCCGCCGGAGGAGGAGGAGAAGAAGAAGGAGTTGGAGTAATGTAAGATATAGATATATACACATATGTACGTATATACACATATGTACGTATATACGTATAGATAGGAGTGAAGTTTGTTGGCGTATATACTCGGCCAAGCTCGAAGAGTTGTGGGCTGGTTTGCTTATAGCGTTGTTACGTTGTTGTGTGATGGAGTGATTTGTCGTTATATATGACCGTATTCTCTTTTAATTTAGATTTACTTGAAATTGTTCTTAACTTTTATATAGTATCCAAATTTAGTACTCCCTCCGTCCGTACGTGTATGTTACACTATAGACACGGTATTTTAGGAGGAGTATAATCAGTAGATAACTAAGATAGTTTAATTAAAATTAAAAAAAATTAAATTAAAAAATTTAAAATAAAATTAAAGTGTGTAATCATTTTCCAAAAAAGGAAAATGACATGGTATGTGAGACGGATAGAAACGGCAACGTGGACATAATATGTGGGCCAGAGGGAGTATAAATTTTTTTTTTACTTTAAAATTTGCATAATACTTCCTTATATTTTAAAAAATATTAGCATAAAATTCTATCGCCTTGAAACTTCTTTTGTATTATGAGAAAATAATTTTCTATCTATATATTTTGTATGGTGGGAGATTTTGTGCAATATTTTTAAAGTATAAAGAGATGTTATGCAATTTTTTATGTAAAAGTAGAAATTTATACTAAGTTTTGAAATCAAAAAAAAAATTTATACAACATTTTTTTAAAAGTATAATAAGAGGATTTCACGCAATTTTTAAAATAAAAAGAAATTTAGCTGAATTTTAAAACTATAAAAGACTTTTGCCTTAGTTTTATTTATTTATTTTTATAGTACAGTTGTGATTTTTAAATTAGCGGAGTGGATTGGCTTACAATCCACCATTGGCGGGGCGGATAAAAATTTCATCAACCCAACCTAATCCATTGGCGGGTGGCGAGCTAAGCGGACTAGCCCACAAATTTTTTTAAAATATTAATATTATAAATATTTTCGCAACTAATATTTAAAAATAGCTAAAAAAATAGTTTTATTTTAAAATTTAAATAATAAATAAAAAATATAAAAATTCTAAATTCAAAATATTATTAGTTATTGTATTCAAAAAAATAGTAATAAGAAATATTATACAAATAAATTATAATTAATTTTATGAATCTGTGAATAGATTCTAAAATAAAAAATATATATATATATAAAACAATAAGATGGAAGAAAAACAAAACAAATGATGAAAAATCGAGATAAATAAGAGTGACATTGATAATAGTTAGAAAAGAAAAGCAACGTGTATACAATATTGATTAATTTATTTAAGTTAATGATAATATAAATTTTATTTTATTCGTCTTAATTAAAAATATATTTTTTCAGTAGATTAAAATAATAATATATTATTTATTAAATAAAATGTACAAGATGATTTTGATATTTTTTTACTCTTTGTTATTTATAAATTAATTGTATTTATAATTGTATATTTGTAATTTATATAAAATTAAAATATATTACTCCCTCCGTGTTTCTATTTTGGGACGTCCAATTACAAAGTAACCATTTCATTAAATACCTCATTTTTTCCACAAATACCCCTACTTTACATCACATCATTACTTTTATACCAAAAAAGTTAGGGCAAAAAATGTCATTTTACTACTTTTACCTACCAACTATAATTAAAATATTATTATTCCTTAATCTCCACGCCAAAAGTAAATGTATACTTATTTTGTGGACGGAGGGAGTATGATATTAATATTTGATTACTTTTATTATAATTTTTTAATGTGACAGTAAAAACTGATAAAAAAAATACATTTATTTGAGATGGGTGAGTACTAATTATTACATTTACTTAACCCGCGGGCTAATCCACTTTCAACCCACAGCCAATGTCGGTTGGCCCATTTAGGCCCGCATTATAACGGGTTTATAAAATTACAACCCAATCCTCATTAAAAGTGAAGCGAGGCGGGCCAACCCGACGGACTGAAAAATTTTGACGGCTCTAATCACACCATTGACTCTTTAATCTTCTTTCCATCTCTTTGTAATATCAAAAACCAAAATAATTGCTATGTTAGAAATAAGGATGTAGTCTAAGTGGCGAAGCCCTCAACCTGTAGCCTTTAGGTCGGAGGTTTGGTTTGATTCTTACCAACTTAGGTTTTGTAGATATCTTACATCATTTTATTAGATTTTTTCTTTTTGTTATTTTTCTTTTACTACTTACTATATATGTTAATATAAAAAAAGAAATTATGTTAACATGTTTTTTGAATGATGGCAATAGCTTAAAGTATAAACATCTATATCAAAGAAATACCTCAAATTAAAATAGAATTTAACAATAAAAGAAGATAACCCATAAATTTTATTTAGTTTATAGTAAGAAAAAATAAATAAAATGTATAAAGGTGAACATGAAATTATAGATATCATCCAAAGTGTTTTACATATCATCCAAAATGTTTTCCTATAGTACCAATGGTGAAAGAAGGGAGATAGAAAAAATATCAATATGAAAGCTTTATGACCAATACCAATATTCGGGCAAAATAATGATAAAAATTGATTGCAAAATATTGTGAAGTGCAAAGCATCCGAGTTTATATTTGAACATAGTCATTAGCTCACCAATTCGCAAAAGATTTATTTATTTTCGGCGTTAGCTCGCTTATTATGCATATTTATTGTTTATATTTTGAGAGTATTTTAGTTGATTTGATATGAATTCTATTGAATTTGATGCATATTTGAATATTTTACAAATTTTGAAGATAATTAAAGAAATTGATGGAAAATAAAAATAATAGAAAAAAAATATTATTACGACATTTTCAACTCAACGCTATTTATGACACTGGGTTGAAGATTTGGTGCCGGTTGCATTCCAACGCAAATTTTGTTGTGCATGTTGCACTGTAGCAACACCAAGTTTTGGCGTTCCATTCTTTTCTTCTTTTTTTTTTTTCTTTTTTTAAATTTTGTATATTAGTTTATTTATAAGCAAAAATCATTATTGATCCCAATCAAATCATTTTTTTTTTTTCATTTTGGTTCAATTTAAAAATAATTATTACAATTAGTCCCGCACAAAAAATAAATTATCTTTTTTAGTTCATTCGTTAAAATTTTAATGGAATGTGATGACGTGGCCTTAATGAAAGATGACTTGTCATCTAATTCGGATTAAACATGACTGTATTTATCAAAACACGGTCGTATTAAAAAATAAAAAATAAATATTTCCTTTGTATAAGTTTCTTTGTATTTGAAATTGCATTTATTCTTTTTCTCCATAAACCTCTCTAGGAACATATCCTTCCCCTCCTTGAGAAACTTCACCTTCGGCGACGACGACTCTCTCAGCCTCTCCATACTAAGGCCACAACATCACAGTCTCGTTAAAATTTTAACGGAATGATTAAAAATGATAAATTTTTTTTGTGTAACTAATTTTGACAATTATTTTTGAATATGACTAAAAATAAAAATAAAATATTGATTTGATTGAGATCAATAATAATTTTTGCTCTTTATTTATTTTTTTCTATTTTTTTTTTTTTTTTTTGTTATAAAGGATAATATTAATTGTTGATATAAATAAAAGAGATTTAAAATAATATATAAAATCCAATATTTAAAAAATATTTGTTTAAGTAAAAAAATTAAAATTGTGAATTATAGTAAAAATACTGTAACATTTATAATTTTTTAAATTAAAACTGTATACTAAAATTAATCAGTTTGAAAATAACTTTAAAGCCCACAACCCCTAAATCCATTTGTTATTTAAAAAGCCCAAGAATTAAGATTATAAAAATATTAATACAAACAAAAGGGAGGAGACGTGTAGAAGGGGAAGCCAAGCAGCAGAACTTAAAATTTTGATTTAAAATTGAATAGATAAAATTTGTGAGTTGGAGATACCTAAATATATTTTACTTTAGTAAGTTTACCTAAAATAAAAATTCATCGATTGCTATGAGATCGACAAAAATGAAAATTATGTTAATAAGATGGATGAAGAAATCTTTTTACGTTAAATATTGATTTTTACAAGAGAATAAAATATATATATTGAGATCATGTCGGAAAAAAAAAAAAAAATTAGAGTGTGTTTGGCAATTAGCTGATAGCTTTTAGCTGTTAGTTGATTCAATTAGTTGTTAGTTGGTTTGACTAGCTGATTCAATCAGCTGTTTGTATTAAAGTGTTTGGTAAAACAACTGTTTGACGTTAGATGTTTATACATAAAATGACTATTAAGAATATTGATATGTTATTTTTTGAAATATTTAATTTTGTTCATTTTTATTTGAAATTTATGAGAATTTTTGTTATTAAATATTGAAAATTATAAAAATATTTATTTTTATTTTTATTATTTAGATATGAGAAAATTATTTTTACTAAAAAATAATTATTTTTTATTAAAATTATATAAAATATAAAATAATAAATCTTTCATATATATTTTTTTATTATGTTAATTATTGTTATAATATATATAAATAAATTAATAATTTTTGTTTTTTCTATTTGATTTAGTTATTAAAAATTATATATTTTACAAATAAAATAATTTATATGTAATAATTAATAATAGTAATTATTTTAAATTTATAAAAATACAAATATAATTTAATAAATTAAATATATTAAAAATAATTAATAAATACTTCTATAAAAAATATATTTATATGTATAAAATAAATAATTAAGTTTTAAGGGTAAATAAGGAATAAAAAAAATTAAAATGAAAAAACTCTTTCAAAATGCTGGGTAGATGAGTTTTTCAGAAATTAGCTTTCTGGGTCCAAAAAGCTCTTTCAAAAAGCTAATTTACCAAACACTTAAATTAATTTTTTAACTGGTCAAACAGCTAAAAGCTGTTCAATAAGCTAAAAGCTCTTCAAAAAGCTGTTTTTCAAACACCCTCTTAGTGGCAAACAAACCTATATAGGTGTTTTTGTTTGAAAGTTTGAATTTTGAATTCTGATTTAAATAATAAAAAATTTTGAATTAAAATAATAATATGATGTGATATAAATTGATGTTGTCATGATATTTTAAATTTTAAATTAATTTTTAGTATTGTATAAAAAATATATATATTTGATTTTATATTTTTTAAAAAAAAAATTGATAAATAATAAAAAATTATTAAAAAGTTTCAAAAAAACACACCCATAATGTACTTCACCCAGAATTGCTTTTATCATATTTCCTCCGTCCCACGAGAGATAATCATTTTGTTATGGACAAATATTTTAGATAGTATAGATTACTAAGTTGTAATAATGAGTTATGATATTATTTTATTATCTTATATATGAGTCGTGTTGTTGGTATTTTAAATATTTTTAACATTATATTTTAATAAAATATAAGCAATATGAATATTATTTTGTAAATAATAAAATTTTATATAATACCAAATAAATAAAAATATATTTATTTATAATTAACTTAAAATTAATTTTATAAATAGTGAGATATTTTAAATATAAATAAAATTTATTTATTGAGAAGATGGATAAAAAATAAAAAAATTCTGAGTAAATTTTACGTTTAAGAAGTTAAAAATTTAATAAATTAATTTATCATCTTCTAAGATACAGATAAATAAATAAATAAATAAATAGTCCATTAATATTACGAGTTAGATAGAGGGTAGGACGGCGCAAGGCATTTACCAAATTCACTAGGCTGTGTTTGTTTGGGGGATTGAATTCCTAATCCACTATTTATCTTATTTTTTTTCCCCAAAAAATCAAATCAAACACTTATTTTTTATTTTTTATATTATACTAAAAATCAATTTTACATTCAAAACATCACATTAACACTTATTTATATCACATCATACAACTATTCAAATTCAAAATTTTTACTATTTAAATCCCAACTCAAAATCCAATCCCCCAAACAAACACATCCTTATTCAATGTTTTTTAATAATATATTTCATCCGTCCTATATCTATATATTTATTTGTTTTTTTTACGGAGTTTGAAAAATATTAGTATAATATTGGAATAAAATAAAAATAAAAATTTTGTAAGGTTACGTAGATGGTACAATTACTTTAAAGAAAAATGAGTACTTTGTTATAGAACTAACCAAAATGAAAAAATAGATAGATTATTAAAAGACACATATTAAAAATTGATACTACTTATTTTGATGGTGTTAAGGAAGAAAATAATATATAGTCTAAAAGAATCAGAACTTAAATAATTATGTTCAAATAAAAATTTTGGAAAATTTGAGATTTATTATTATTTTTTTTGAAATGATAAATTTTTAAATTATTTTAACAATATAAATTTTAATAAAATATATATTCTTATAAAATATCATATATAAAAATATTATTTAAAATAAACTATAAAATAAAATCAAAACTCAAAAAATCCAATAAAAAATCTGATAATATCTAAGAAAATATAAAATTGGTTAGTATTAATAATATGATACAAAATATTTTATTATAAATAAATATTTGATTTTTTTTTGTAATAAGTATTTGAATTATTTTTTGATATTTTTATAAAAAATATTTTGTATTATTATTTATTATTATTTTTGAAAAATTACAATTAAAAAATAGTATTAAAAGAATGTATACTAGTATAATATAAATAACTAAATATATTATTTCCATTCCAAAATAATTATCTAATTTTGTCATTTTTAATTATCCCAAAACAATAGTCTTATTTTATTTTTAGTAACTAACTCTTCATTTTTTTTACAAAATTATCACCACATTTTCACAATAATTAAAATATTTTAGTATTTTAGAAACACTTTTACATCAACTATCAATATAATACAATTATTTTTTAATTTCCTTGTCCATTAACGGTGTGTTTGTTTGAGGGATTTTGCCAAAAATTCACATTCATCCAAATTTTTCCTCCAAAAACATCATATCAAATACCTATTTTTTATTTTTTATATTATTCAAAAAATCAATTTTATATTCAAACATCACATCAACATCTATTTATATCAGGTCGGTTAAAATTCAAAATTTTTACTATTCAAATCTCAACTCAAAATCCAACCCCCAAACAAACACACCCTAAGTGTCATATTTTATTTTATTTTATTTTTGGGACGGATGGAGTAATACAAGGGTGTGTTTGTTTGGAGGATTTTGTAAGATTTCTAATATTTATTTAATTTTTTTTTCAAAAATATCAAATCAAATACATATTTTTAATTTTTTATATTATTTTAAAAATTAAATATCACATAAACACCGTATCAGGTATTCAAATTTTTTACTATTCAAATCAAATCAAATCCAAACCCCCAAACAAACACACCTAAATAATTTTATAAATTTTTTGTTTAAAATATTTACAATTATACTTATTTATTTTTTTTTAAAAAAGATATAAACAAAAAAAAAATTACAAATAAGTTCATGTTTTAATTTTTTAAAAAAAAAAATTATTGAAAACCAAAAAAAACAAAAACTCACAACCATTTCTCTTTCCCCGTTTCCACTCGAATTCGCTTTCAATTTGACTTACAAAAGTACAACAATTCCTTACCACTGCCGTACAATTCCCGACGCCGTTGCCGGAGTACACTGTCGGAGATTTCAATCTTCATTTTTGCCCTTCTCTGCCTAACTCGTCTTCCATGTCTCCTTCCGCCATTGTCGCTTTTCTATTATTACATACGCTGATTTTCTATAACGGCGCGGCGGGGTTTGAAATTGGGATTGGATCTCGCTCGATTCTCCGATCAATCGACGGCGCCGAATCTGAAAATCTGGATTATGCTGTCGATTTGAATGTCTCCAATTTCGACACTGTCCTAAGGGAAGCCAAAGCTTCGTACGCCATCGTCGAATTCTTTGCTCACTGGTTAGTCAGTCGCTCAGATTTCTGTTTTTGTGCTTAGGACAATTGATATTTCTGTTTGTCGTTTTACTGATTGAGATATCTGAAGAGAAGCTTTCAAAAGACAAATAAAAAACAAACAAACAAACAGGAGTTTCGATTTTTCTCAAGGTTTTTGAATGGTTGCGGTGATGGAGAATTTGTGTGGAATTAACGTTGTCTTGGGCAATATTTATTAGCAAACGATCGAAATCTGCTCAAAATCCAGTCAACATTTCAATATTAAATTGGGATAAATCGGTGTAGTTTTTGGTTCTTCTGACAAGGTCAAAGGATCCTACAAATGTTGTAGTAATGTTCTTACAGTTGGTTGTAATGAATTAGAAGATAACAAATAAGAACATTCGATTATGTAATGAATTTGCACTCTTCTACTTCATGTCTGCATCGAATTTGGATCGAAAATTGGATAGGGGAAGTATGCTTTCGATGAAATGAATCGTAGTAGTGTCGAATTAACCTGGTGCAAGTGCTTCAACATTGTATTACACATAGCCATACTAAGTCATAGTTTTCGAGGTTGTAAGAATATAGTCGGCGCGATTCGACTTCTCTTGTTTCTTTAGCACAGGCATCGGCTGCCGAGTGAATGAGTGAAGAAAATAATAAGTCTGTTTGGTCAGCGTTTTTAGATGATTTTCTAAAATAATATTTTGTATTGAATGATTGATGTTTTATGAGCGGATAATATATATATATTATATTAATGTGTGTGTATTTTGTAATTTTTTTAATAATATTTATGAGGAATTGTTCAATTGAGAAACGCTGAGTGAACAGATTGAATGTTTCTTATGTCCAATTTTGGCATTTTTCAGGTGTCCTGCTTGCAGAAATTACAAGGTATGTCAGGTTTCAAAGCATATGTTTGTTAGTATCCGAAATATTCGGTTCTCACAAAAAAATATTACTCGAATAGCCACAATATGAGAAGATCGCAAAATTGTTTAATGGAGGAGATGCTGCCTATCAGGGGATCATATTGATGACTAGAGTCGATTGTGCATTGAAGGTATTAGTAGCATACTTAACTAAAGTTAAAATTCAGAACGGTAAATTTTTTTTGGGGTAAATACATTAAACATTGTGTGATTTACTAAAAAATCATTACTTTCCGGAAGATCTATCTGTATTTTGTAAAACTTTACATAAAACCTCTTATTAGTCAAATGACAGCCAATTTCGTGTAGAGTTTACAAAGTACAAATTGGCCTTTACGCAATTTTTAAACCATACGGAAGAATGATGGAATTTTTCTTTATATAATGTCATTTGTGCTTTGTTTTGCAAGTGAACCTGCGCTTTTACCGTGAAAACTTTTCAAGTTTTTGCAGCAGTTAAATGATTTTCGATCTGAAGTTTGTTGCAGAATTGCGCCAATACTCCCTCCGTTTTTTAATAAATTATCAATTTTTCCATTTTGGTCCATCCTATAACAAGTATTCATTTTTTAGTAACTGAACTATCTACCTAACATTACAAATACTATTATAATTTACAATATATTACGCAAATACCATTACATTTATATCATACAATATAGTTTAGTATTTTTATCTTTGTTTCTACTATATTCCAATATAATACTAATATTTATAAAATTCCGTACAAAAAGCAAACGGATACATAGATGTGGGACGGAGGGAGTATATGAATATATATATTCCCTCCGTCCTGTAGCAAGGTTGCCATTTGATTTTTGCATCATTATACTTGACAATTAAAATATCCTTATATTTGAATAATTTACTCTAAAAATGTCATTGTATTGGTATTATAATAGACTAATAAATATATTCTTGTATTTTTTTTTTCGATTTGTACCATGTCTTGATATAATAATTAATATTTAAAGATCAACTTGCAAAAAGCCAATGGCAACTGCAGTGGGACCGGAGGGAGTATTTTGATTTCATGGTTCCAAGTTTCTTGAATGTTTCTTGATCGACTTGTTTGAAGCGCAGATAAATACTGCTCTCTGCGACAAATTCTCTGTCGATCATTTCCCTATGCTTTTTTGGGGGCCGCCTTCTAAGTTCGTGTCCGGAAGTTGGAACCCGAAGCAAGAAAATAGTGAAATTCGTTTGATCGAAAATTTTCGAACAGCCGAACTTTTGCTGAATTGGATCAATAAGCAAACCAACAGGTCTGATACTTTACATTCTTATTACATGTTTATGTTAAGTGGAAGCATTTCAGCATTTTTGTATTAAAGCTTGTATAGTTTCGATTTTTATTTTCAGTTCGTATCGTTCGGACGATAGGAAATATGAGATCAATATGCTTCAGATAAACGAGTCTCGTTTCAGACAGGTTAGATTAATCTGCTATTTCATTTTTTACGCTCGATGTGTAACTAAATCAATAAACTCTGCGCCACGATCTTTATCGTTGCATTTTTTAAAAGATTGCGACTGCTGCGCATGATATTGAAGAGGCGACGGCAATTGCTTTCAGAATCATTTTAGACAATAAGGTGAGCAAATTCACGCCATTTTTTTTTGCTTCACTTTTGAATCATATTGTTTTCTTTTAACACATACTTTACTCCGTCGAAATGCACGCTTTTCTGTAGATGATTAAGCCGGAGACTCGTTCTTCACTCTTAAAATTCTTACAAATTTTGGTCGTTCATCATCCCTCCCGAAGGTCGTCATCCATTCTCGTTCTCTTTAGTTATTTTAGTTTCCATGCTTTTGTCCTTTCCGATTTTTCGTCATCTTTGATCTGTATGTTCTTCTGTAGCTGCCGGACGGGAACTGCCGAAATTCTCATTGATTTCGACGATTTTCCAGCCACGAAAAACGAAACCGGGATTTGCGGGAAGGATGTTCCTCGAGGATACTGGGTGGGCATGTCGCAATTCATCATTATACCAAATTGATCTTGATTTTGTTAACCTGACTGTCGATTTATCTTGCAGGAGTTTTGTCGAGGAAGTAAGAACGAGACCCGAGGTTTTAGGTGCGTTGTCGATACATCGTTTGTCCGTCTCGAGCAAGTTTTTGTCGAATCGCTTCTACTGATGTAGGTCTTATCTTTGTAGTTGCGGATTGTGGATTTTATTTCACTCGCTTTCGGTAAGAGTCGCTGACGAAGAAAGCCAGACGGCCTTTACTACAATCTGTGATTTTATCCGTAATTTCTTCGCCTGCCAGGAGTGCCGGCAACATTTTTACAGCATGTGTTCGACGTAAGTTGGACACAAGCTTACGATAACCATTTTTAAGCGCTTTCGATTTAATTCCCTAACGTATCGTTCTTGCAGCGTTTCCAATCCTTTTCAGACACAGCGCGACTTCGCCGTATGGCTGTGGAAAGCCCACAACAAAGTTAACGAGCGTCTTATGAACGAAGAAGTGTCTCTAGGAACGGGCGATCCTGAATTCCCGAAAACTCCGTGGCCTCCGAGACAGCTATGTCCGAAATGCTCGGTTTCGAGAAGCGGCGGGAGTCGGATTGACTGGAACGTCGATGAGGTTTACCGGTTTTTGGTTACTTACTACGGGGAGACTTTACAGTCTCGATACAACGGTAGCAACCGAACGGTAGAAAGGCTAACCGATGATTCGGTGGCTTCGCCAAATGCGGTTATGGTTCCCGTTGGCGCTGCTGCGGCGATTGCCGTTGTGAGCTTCGCATTTGGAGCGTTCGCTTACTTCTGGCATCGGAAGCGAAAAATTCGAAAGTATAAACACGATCCGTACACTTTGAAGACTATTTAGCCATCGAGGTAAAAGGGGCGCATTGAAATTTATAGTACGCGAAGAAAATTCGATTTTTTTGGTAGAGATTTGGTGTACTCGGAAATTCTTCTCCGCGACCATTTCAGGTCGAGGAGAAATCTTGAATTGATGCAGCTTACGGCGTGTATATACAACATTGGTCGAGTTTTCGGAAGCTTCCGATAAGGTAGTCGAGGTTCGGCTTCGAACATCTTTATAGTACAATTGTGTATTTTTTTACTTGTGTGTCGATGTTATAGCGATTGTGCTTACTCTGATTAGTTACAGTGTTAATAGCACACAACACATGAACTGACAACAAATGACAACTTGACCAAATAGTGTATACTATAATACATTTCAGCTACAAAAAAGGTTAACATACTAAAAATATACTTTTTTCTGTCCTAATTCAAAGTACTATTTTTATTATTTTATCTGTCTAACTCAAACGTTTTTTTAGTAAAAGTAATCATACACTGGTATCAAAATATTTTTAATTTTTATTTAAATTATAAATATATTATTATACATACAATAATTTTATATAAAAAGTCAATAGACAATAATGTTAAAATCTATTACACTTTCACTGACCAAGATTCTAAAAGTCTTATTTATTTTTTGTTTATTGATATTTGAATATTAATTATTATATCAAAACATAGTACAAATTAATAAAAAATTGCAAATATACTTTCTTCAGTTTACTAATAGAAATACATTTGTAAAAAAAAATTATAGAATATTTTTAAAATTAATACAATGACACAAAATGTAAATAAATAAGAAGAGAGGGATGGAAGAAGTATGATATAGATTGTTGTAAAATATATGATATAGATAGTATGTGCTGTTTAATTATCTTTTATGTGTTGTTCAGAGCTAATCGAAATGCTACTTCACTTAAATCAGCACCGTAACAATTCCCGTAGATAATTTTATCAACTTCGCCCGCGACTAATTTTAAAAGATGTTTCGATGCGAAACTAAAAGACGGTACGTACATTCATTTGAACATGGAGGTTGGCGACAACGGCGGGGTGTCGAGTTGGTACAAGTTGAAAGCCGGTCCGACGAACCGGAACACAATCCACCCTCCGATCACGATGAAGATGGAGGCGTAAGCGAACTTGTTAAGCCAAAACAAGAGGCCCTTCTCGCCCACGTAGACCTCGACGAGCTTCTCCGTCAATGTCATCGAGTCCCAATCCTTCGGAGCGGGCTTTAATTTAATCTTCTCTGCCGCGCTCTCCGCCTCTTGCTTCCTCCGTTTTCTCGAGCCTCTTTTAAACCGAATTTCGACCGTATTCGGCGGCGTTATCCGCGACTTTGTAGGTGGCGACGACGACCCCGAGTCCTCGCCACCGGAAACGTTGTTATCGTTCCTGTCGCCGCCGTTATTTTGAATCGCCGTTACCGGCGGGATGTATCGAGGATGCCGGAGAGGGTGAGGGGCCTGTGACCGGAAAGTAGTGATTGTCTTTGGGAAAGACAGCATTGTGCGTTGTTTTGTGCTTCAATTCAGATCATACGTATTGAAGAAAAACAGCAACCCTGAAAATTTAATTCGATTATTAGATAGTGAATATCAGATGAAGGCAATAAAACGTGATTCTTGAACAATATTGTTACCTGTGGGAGTGTTTTGCTCGGACCAAGAACCTTGTTTATGGCCTCAGATTTTTGTGTTCGTTGATGGATAAGAACATCAACTGAAAACACGACTTTAGCTTAGTTGTTGGAGAGTCGCATTTATATTTTCCAGCGATTTTATCTTTGTAATGTTTGCAGTTACGGGGGACGGTCAAATTTGCCTTGCATTAATTTTCAGTTACAGTGACTGGAATTGACTGTTTTGTCCTTACTTGTTTCGGGTCCGGTTGAAAAGTATCGGGTTCTGGTGTTTTTAGTGAAAATTGGCTAGAAACCCGTCTAAAATCCGAACCCGGATCCGAATTTGGATCCGGATCCGATATTGGAGGATCTAGCATATTCGTACGCTCTATTCGTTTATAAAAAGGGTTTTTCAGGACGCCCACGGGTATTTCGTTCCTTCAATTCAAACTGTGTCTCGACATTTCTTCGGTTCTGCGTCTTTCGGAAGGGGTGGGTACGCTTGTTTATCTTTCCTTCTAATTAGATTGGTGTTTATATTGATTTCGGTTTTGAATTCTGCGCATACAGTTAATTTTGCGGTGTCGGTTGCTCATTTCTGTGTTAAGGCGACTTGATTTACTTGTAGATCTACTTGAATTTGGGAGTTTTTAGTGTATTCTGTTTTAGACTTATGGATGGCCTTCGACGGTAGTAGAATTCTGCATCTTCTTGTGACCTCGAATTTTTTGTGTTGATTTGTCGTTGGTTGCATAATGGTCTGTGATCGCGTAAGTTGAAATATTGGTCGGAATTCTATGAATTTAGGTTTATTTTCTGGCTGTCTTTTTTCTGTACCTACGTAGAAAGAGATGTTTTTGGATAATCTGTGGTTAGTTTAGAGAGATTAGAATTCTAGGGTATAAAAATATGGTAATTTCTGTAATTTGGTTTACATGGGGAATTTTAATAATTCAGGGAATAATAAGCAGTATAGGGTATTATATGTAGCAGTTTCATTATTCTTCTGTGAATGATACTTTAGATGGCTGTGGCTGTGGATTTTGGGTTTCCAAATTGAATTTGGTAGTTTATGGGCCATGTATCTTGTATAAATGCAATGCTTGGGATTCTAATTATCTTGAAGATGCCGGAAAAATGCTTGAACTGTGTCAGGTTGAAATTTGGGCTTTCAAATTCTATGGGTTAGTTTAAAGTTAATGGAGAAACAATAGGTTTTAACATTGAAGAACATACTGAGATAAATTATAAAAATAAGATGGCTAGAAGATATTGGTGAAAAACTATATGGTGCTTAATGTTGCGATTGTTTTTATGTGTCAATGGAATAAGGGTTTCCAATCACTCTTAACTCTTTTGTTGCTTGAGTCGGCGAAGCTTTCAAATTCGTGGTCAATAATATTCATCTCAGCCTCTTTTTTTTTTTTTTTTTTTTTTTTTAAATTATTATTTTTATTATTATGTTATCTTTAAGTTTTTTTTTAACACTGTTGTTCACTGAAGAATTTATTCATTGAGGTTAGTCACTCTGCAGGCACTAAAGTTGTGAGAAAAGTAGACAAGGCCATTTCTTACGTCATCATGAAGTACTTGGAATACACACCACTTGATCGGTAGGTTTTGAAGATCTTGTAAAACTCTACATTATACTTGTATATCTTATTTTTTAATAGATTATTATATATTTTTTACTATTTTCATTTGATTGTTCATTGATGTTCTAGTGAAAAATTAACCAACAAAAATGCTATGTTTTATTTTATTTTATTTTATTTTTTATTGTCAGAATAAATGACTTCTTGAGTCATGTAAATCTTGGAGAAAGGACCATCAAAGGATGCCTAGAGGCTTACTCTTGTAAGAATTATTTAAATTATGAGTTAGCGGTATGTATGGTGGTGGAGATTAAATTTGATTTTCTTGGCTTTGTGGTTTTCTAGGCAAGCATACAGGAACAGATAAGAGGCTTTCTCTAAGCCTGGAGAATGAGGTGATATGAATAGAACCAAACGATTCTTAATATATCAACTGCCACTATCGGCCTCAATCTCACAGAAATGCCAAACTTCATGTTCTGCTGAGATTTAAAAACTTATATTCGGTGCTTTACCATTACAGATTCTGGACCACCTTGGAAAGTCTTTGGATACCGACTCCTCCTCTCCAGTTGAATATCTATGCAGTCGATCCAGGTTGCTAAAATTAATAAGTACAGCATCTGCTAATTAGCATGTGCAATTTGTGACTCATTCCTTAATATTTACGTCACAGTCGGAAGACAATGATTTATCTGCTTCTTACTCTCCATCACATGTATCCAGATTATGATTTCAGGTAACTCTGTAACTTGTCCTAATTAAATTATTCTGCTAGTTCTTGAAACCGTGCCGGTAAGGAGGATTATGGGTAATGCCACTGTCAGCTTTCTTTGCGTCGTGGCATCCCGCTAAATAATCCTTCCTTAACAGCCTTGGGAGTGTTGTCAGAAGGTTTGACAGACAGTTTAGATTACTGTTGCTCTTATAGGAGCTGAGAGTTCAAGTCTCTCCATTTCCCATCTGTATCATTAAGTGATGTGATTTCTTAACCCTTAGTTTATATCGTTACCCCTTTATGCTTCTCTATATCTGTTCGACTGTTCCCTTTCATTCTACAATCTGCCATCTTTGATTTACCAGTGCAGTGAAAGCTCACGAATTTTTCACCGAGGAAAGCTGGGACAGTGTTAAGCAGATTTTCGATGATTACATGTTTGAAGCCTCAAAGGTACCTTTATATGTCCATAAACAGCTGACAATCTTGATACAGATAGAGTCCTGGGTGAATTTACTGGGTTATGTGTTCTTGAATATGCTCAAATCCTTGCAGTTTTAAATTATGGCTTGGCTTCTGTATGTTATCTTTCCAGGTCAGGTCCAGTAATTGCATTATTTTGCTTCCAGTAATTTCAGGTTTTCATTGGGAATTTTTTGGATTTTTGGTTTGCATCATATTGGAATTTTCTAAATATGGAATTTTGATTTGCTTTGGATCAGTAATTCAGTATACTGAAAATCATAATAAACTCAAAATCTCAAATATATTAAAATATTCATATATTATATTGAAAGTGTATACATATTGCATATTATGTGGGTTTGTATTCGGAATTTTTTTGTATTTAATATTTGTTTGTAATTGTTTAAATATTAGATAATCTTGTCATTGTCATGTGTTTGTTTTACATTTCATTTATTAATAAAATTTATCTAACTAAAAAAGAATTAGATTTTTTAATATATTATACAAGTTCAGAATTTTTAGCTTGGTGCGGATTTTATAATTCAGATTTTCAGACAATTCAGTTTGATTCAAATAATTTTTCTTACACCCCTATTCATTCCCGTGAGATGAGTTCAATGGTGTAACGGTACTTATGTGGGATATTTGTTCTTCACAAGTTGCATATAGCTTGTTTTTCATTCTCAAATTTAGTTTACAAAACCTGACCGAAAATGCTGTGACTTAGCTCCCCAGTTACCCTTTGATTTGGAGTTTTCTAGAAATATTTGTAGTAGAATCCGCATCCTTTTTTTCCATCTCTAAAACTTCGATTGCAGGCATGGCTAGAGGAGAATGAAGTTCCCCTACTCGAGACCTTGTACAAGACCTTAGATGAGGTATTCTCTAATTTCAAATCGAAGAATAAAATGAATGACAATACTATTTCCACACAACCGCTGAGTTCTTACAAAATAGAGCTATATGTTGTTACATGACCATCTCATTTAAAAAATTAAATTGGAAGGATACATATTGTTTATTTATTTATATATGATGGAGTCAAACAACGCACTGGTTATCTGTAGGTTGTGAAGCTAGCCGAATGTGAGATTTATAGTTACAACCCGGAGGCCGAGGCCAATCCCTTCCTTGAAAAAGGATCAATGTAAGAATCATCCATACAAAATTACAAACCACACTAGATGCTTGTTTACTTCCTTTACATTCTTACTCTTGTCATTTTCTCTGCCTTTCAGATGGTCGTACCATTTTTTCTTCTACAACCGAAAGCTCAAGCGCGTCGTGTACTTTAACTTCGGCTGCTTGAGGTATGTTTAGCTCATGCATTCTTGATCCATCAGTTTTAGGCCAGCATCATATTCATTATTAGGGATACTAAAAATACCATACTCTGTATACTGTATCGAATATTTTGATATGCTAGAAAATATCTATGTCGTACCAAAAATTTGATATACTGAAAATATATATCGATACCATACAAATATATGTTGAAAACTCGGTGTATATGGTATCTGTATATGTTTTTTTTACTGAAATATCAAAATTAAAAATAGTTTTATAAATTTAGAGACAATAAAAATTATTACCTCCATCCGACCGGTAAAAAATAATTTTGATATCAATAATACAAAAATTCGATACAGTTTCATACTATGTACTAAAATTTCGGTATTTTTAGTATTTTTGGGTATGCATGGTATTTTGATAATTCGACCCGTACTCATCATACACTCTTTGTCGTCGCAGCAATCTGGTCGGCGACTTTGGCGATGAGTCGAGCTTCGAGGAAGACGACGAAATATTCGAAGGAATGGACATGTAAAGGAGGCTGCTTTAGGTTCCATTGTAGCTACAGAATCCGACTTTATGTTTCTTGTAAAGAAGGGCCTCTTCTTACCCTTTTGTTTCCTGTGTATATTTAGCTAAGTAAATAAAATGATGTCTGAACTTGAGGATGAACTTGATGCTGTAAGAATCTGTGAGATTCGTTTTAGGAGAAAAAAATCAATTAATCATTATCCATACAAGGAAGTTTACAGAATAGGCATGGACTAGGATAGGGTAGGATCATAGGATGATACAGATTTGGGGATTCCTAAGTTAGAAATATGAAAAATGATGGCTCTTCAGTTATTGTATCCAATAGAGGCTTTCGAGATGCTCTGTGTTGATACTCCAGGCGCAATCTGGACCATCCATTTTCGCAGCTTTCTACCAAATTCTCCGTCGCCGGAGCTACTCGGACTGCGTTGTCTCCGGCGGAGGGAGCGGCCGCAACGACGAACACGGCGGCGTCTGCTGGCGTGACGATTGAATTGACTCTCCTCATCGGAAACATGATGTAGAGGCTTCCGAACTCCAAGTCGTCGTCGGCGGCGAGCGGGGAGAATCGGTTCCCGATTTTGACAGATTCGGAATTGGTGAGGAAGTAGGAAGGATAGTCGAGCATGAGATCCGCGGCTTTCACCTGGTGGCGGAACTGGCGGAGCTGGCCGCCGGGGAGAATAACCCTAGCGGAGATGGGGCTTTTGAGTTTGGGAGATGGAATAGCGCAGGAAGTGTAGTTTCCCATGGCGGTGGAATTAAGGTCGGTATTGAATGGCGCAGAATAACTGCGCGCATATATAACGTGGATAGAAGAAGAAGATAGAGAGGGAAAAATGGCGTGTGGCAGTGGAGTAGTGGAATAATGGGAAACTTGCATATCTGCCATTGCCAACTGGAAGTCATGGTAAACGACAGTTGTGGGGGCAAGCAGAGGCTGGCAAACGCGGTCCTGATTTTCCGCTTTGCGGTGGATTTCATTTCATATGGAAAATCATTCTCGCGAATGTCGGCGTCGCCATCATTGGATCGACAGAAGGTACGCCCAATTATCTGGGTTTGTTTATACGAGAATGGATTGGATCTGAGCTTTACAGTCTTCTTCTGTTCTTCACGCAGGACAACCTGTACGCGGATGATGAACTGATGATAGTCTACGCTTTCGTCGATCTCCTTCCTTCCTTCCTTCCTTCCTACAGGTGCAATTTTCGATTCAGAATTTCAGCGAATTGCGAGTTTCATTTAAGTATCCACTGAAACACTGCACTCACTTACCTTTGGTGATTAGGTTTGATCGCCATTGTTAGGTCTGTTTTTCCTTCTAAATTGCTCTCTTCCAAACGGCGTAGACAGCCTGTTCATAGTCTCTTCCTTCCTTCCAACAGGTGCAATTTTCGATTCAGAATTTCATCGAATTGTGAGTTTCATTTCAGTATCCACTGAAGCACTGCACTCACTTACCTTTGGTGATTAGGTTTGATCGCCATTGTTAGATCTGTGTTTCCTTCTGAATTGCTCTTCCAAGCGGCGTAGACATTCTATTCATAGTCTCTTCCTTCCTACAGGTGCAATCTTCGATTCTGAATTTCATCGAATTGCGAGTTTCATTTCAGTATTCACTGAAACACTGCACTCTACTGCACTGCACTCTTACCTTTGGTGATTAGGTTTGATCGCCATTGTTAGGTCTGTGTCTCCTTCTGAATTGCTCTTCCAAACAGCGTAGACAGTCTGTTCATAGTCTCTTCCTTCCTTCCTTCCTACAGGTGCAAATTTTCGATTCAGAATTCCATCAAATTGCGAGTTTCATTTCAGTATTCATCGAAACACTGCACTCACTAAAGCTGAAGTCAAAATCGTTATTCTTTCCCTTTCTTCAGTAGAATCTCCAGTCCCAAGCCCCTACTCAAAACGTTGAGGGGGTAGCCGACAAGAAGGATGAAATCCCCAAATGCCCCAATAAGACTACCTTTCAAGTAATACAGAAAGGGGCGGACAACTATTTTAACTCCCGATGCAGGAGTAGGAATCTAAATCTTACCTTTGGTGATTAGGTTTGATCGCCATTGTTAGGTCTGTTTTTCCTTCCAAATTGCTCTTCCGAACGGCGTAGACAGTCTGTTCATATAGTTCATTGGCTGTTTGGGGATTTGCAGTGAAACTTCCTATTGTGTGAAGTTGCTAGAAAACTATCCTACTAGGGTTTCATGGAATTTAGTTCACTTCACAGAATTTGGATTTACAGCTAAGATGGTTTTTAATAGGAATTCGGGATCTATAATGGTCTTCACAAGGATTTGTTTGATCCATTTGAGCTGCTTTTTTGTGAATGGAAGTATGGTTCTTGAACTAGATCTCTGTAGAATCGAATTATCTTGTCCTAGTAGCTGTGAGATGGTTTAGCTACACATTTCTTGCATACAATGGAGGAGAATCAATTATTCTGACATTCTTGATTCAAGGGTCCTCAACGAGAGTAAGGTTAGAGCTGTAAACGAGCCGAATCTAGTCGAACTTGTCATGTTTGAGTTCGACTCGCGTTTATTCGTTAAAAAATACGAGCTGAAAATTTTGTTTGAGTTCGGCTCGGCTCGTTAAAGAGAATTTTTTATTTAATTTTTAAAAAATAAATTAAATATATTATGTTTATGAAAATATATTTCTTTCGTCTCTTAACTATCTATCAATTTTTTTTATTTTGATCTGTCTCATAACAAACTATCAATTTTATTTTTTTTTAAAGTAATTGTACTATCTACCTGACATTACTTTTATTTCTACTATTTCCTAATATAATACTAATATTTTTAAAATCCTTGCAAAAAGTACATGGATAAATAAATATGAGACTGAGGGAGTATTTACTTATAAAATATAAAATTACTAATTTAATTTTTTAATAAATATTTTCGAACATTCGCGAATAAATTCGAGTTTGTTGGTGAGCATAACAAGCTAAAATTTATGTTTGTATTCGGCTTGTTTAGCTTAACAAATAAGCTCAAATGAACCGATATTTTGAGGGATTGGGTCAGCTGCTATTAGCTCCTATGTAGTACCGTAATATGAGGTTTGTGTTTGTTCATGGGATTATTGACGATAGCTATTGTTGCTTGATTATCTACCATAACGTCAGATTCTTTTGTCTTATACTATGTTAAAGAGCAATTAATTGCTATACAAGGTTTAGATGTCAAGTTAGACATTTATTTTTTAATGTATACGACAATACTTCCAAAAAGATATGTTTTCAAACTTCACTCTATACTCCATTTCCATCACATCCATTGTTATTTGTTCTAATATCATCTCCAATCTATATATAACTTTATTTTTTCAAGAGCTATCTTAAATTTCTCTATTTTTTTCGGGACTTTCATATCCTTTATTTCTACAGACTTAGAAGAATATTTCATTTATATTTATAGTTTATATATTATTTTTTAAATTTACAAATAAGATTCAGTATTTTTCCAGAAATAAGATTCAATATTTTTCCAGACAATTTAAATATAATATATAATTTATAATTATTTTATCATAAGTAATTAATTATAAATATCAATAAACTTTATAAATTAATAAAGATATAAGTTACTATAAATAGCACTTACAAAATTAAAATATAATATACAAAAATAAATTAATTTATAAATAATAAAAACAAAATTAATAAAAAGTAAAATGCTAATGGGACAATAATATAATTTTATAGATAAGTCAGAACACAACAGGTTAAAATTGCAGTGCCTGATGAGCCTTGAAGAATGATATATGCTTCTATATATATCAATCTTTTCTTCTTCCATCAAAGCTTCTGTATTTTCATTTCCTGTTGTGACCACAGAATAAATCACTAGTTAAGCAAGTGTTCTATATGATCTTTACTATAGCATGTTTAATTTCCATTTCATTCCATGATTGATCAAATATATATTTGGATTTGTTCTTTTGGGCTTTAAGAGTGTTAGTACGGGGGATGGTTATGGTGCTCATTGAACAAATCAACATGCGTTATATATACAAACAACACACATTAGTATTATACACCGTACATGTGTATAATAAAGGTATGCGCTGTTTTTTAATAATAATAAATATGCTGTATACAAGTATGTCATGTGTTAAAATCAACTCTTGTGTGTGCTATGTGAGACTATAGCATGTGTGTTAGTTCATGTGCTGTATTTGTATTATATTAACATATACAATGTGTTGTTTGTAGTAATATTGTGTGTTGGCTGTAGTAATATTGTGTGTTGTTGAGACTATGACATGTATGTTTTGTTGATGTGCTGTATTTGTATTATATTAACTTATACATTGCGTTGTTTATAGTAATATTATGTGATATCTAATAGTACACGATGTGCTATTCAGCACTGAATTTTAGCTGCAGCCGTGTTAGTATAGGTTAATTATAGAATAACTTTGTTACATTTTACAGTGGCTTTCTACAGGGACGGCCCTAGCTGGCAAAAAGGGCGCCACACAACGCCCACCATAAATAAGGATCATTATACACATATTTGCAGGAAAACTCCACTATAAGATCCTCAATTGATCGCAGATAGAACCGAGAGGAAGAAGACAATTTGGGTGAAGTGAAGAGTTTGGGCTGAGTCCGGCGGGCCGGGCTAAGAAGTCGGCCAACAAATTATATTTTCGAAGGATCTGTTGGGTTAGATCTCGAATAGCTAAAAAATCCCAACATACTATTTATAATGTTAATTAACCAAATCCCAAATACATATTTATATACATATAGACTTATTACCTGAGTTTGGGGTGTTTCAATGGAAGAATTCCGGTGAGTTTTGATAACCTTAGAGTGAAACAAAGAGAGTTTTCGACGGCAGATTTTTGGTAGATGTCGAGGTTTAGAGTGAAGCACCAGCCTCTGTCTTGCGGCGTGATTACCATGTGCCTTAATTAGAAGTCCCTTCTCCGGTAAAGAACAAGAAGGAAGATCGGAGAAAGAATTGGTAAAATCGAAGTCGATCGGAGGTTATTTGAGTCCGTCGGAGGAGATGACACTGTCCACTGGAGAAGATGATCAACATGCATCGTCAATCTGCCGGAGTTCGAAGCTGTTCGGAGAAGAAGTTGCTGCGCTAATCCGCTTGACATCGATGCCGATTATGCGAGAGATAGATTTGGAGTTAAGTTGTCTCGTTGCTTGAATCGGGAGTCGATTTCATCGTCGTTATTGTTTTTGTTTTTAGTTTACAGTTTGGCCATTATTTTTTTCGATTCGATTTATTATATGGGTTTATTCGATTATTGTTTTCGCTAATTAAAATCGTATTTTGTTTAAGAAGGTTGTTCGATAAATTCAACTATTCAAAATATAAATTCACTTCACAACATTTGACATTAGATCTGTCTAATTTAAAATACATGTACAAATATAATTGAATAGGCTAAAATTTCAAGAATTCTTCCTATGAATATGAATATGTCATATTTGATAATTTTAATAGTTTATATAGTATTTTCATATTTATTATATCAAAACAATTTTTTATAAAAAAAAACTGTTTTTATAATGATTTGGGCTTTTGGCTTTGCTTATTTTTAGGTTAATCCAAAGTCCAAACACACCTTAACTATTTGCAAAAGATTGAAATTCCTTACAAATTTCCTAGCAAATTTCGTTGCAAGGAAAGGCCTTTTACAAGGGAATTTTCCCAAGCAAATTCATAGTTTATTTGTTACAATCAAACCCCTATTTTCGATTTAATTTTTCATTGTTTTCAAGCAAAATCAAAACTTCAAAATCAAGGGTGATTCCGATTTTCGAAGGATTCTGAGCGAAAATAAAATAAAATAAAATATGACCCCTTAAATATATATAAATAATATTTTTTATTTATAATTAAATAAAATAATTTTCTAATATTTTTAAATAAAAAATAGTATAAAAAACTATTTTCAAATTTTGTTTCTACACCACCAAACTTCAATATTTTATATTGACATATATCAAATAAGTTATATGTGTAAAAATTATACATATGTAACATAAATAAATAATGACCTCCCACTCGGGCCCAAGGCCGGCCCTGTTCAAAATATATCTAAGATATTTATAATTAGAAATCTCTCCAATGAATTAATTTCAATTTGTCCAAAAAAGTTTCAGCCATAAGAATACTAGTGATAATTTATTCAGCAAATATATATCTTACCCCACAACTTAATTAAATGTGTAGTCTGTGGAATATAACATTAATGCAAAACACACAAAGTAGTCTTGTTTGCCCAAACTCTACTCCAATCTTATGACTTGTAGTCTTGCATTTTCATTTAAAGATTACTTAGTCTTTGGAAGTGTTCGGAGAAATCACAAGCAGCGGATCGAGGAGCATATGACGGGAATATTGAAGACTAGTTGAAGCAAACTTGCATCTTCAGAGAGACATTCAATACCGAAAAGGTATAAGGGTAAGGGTAAGGGTAATGGTAATGGTAACTTTCTTTCACCCCTCGTTCTGTGCCTGCTGGGATATGAAGCCTGATTATATCTTGAAATATCAGATATGGTTTGGATATTATTGTCGTAGACTTATGCTATAAATATCGATATATTCTCACTTTAACAATTGCTCAGTGCCCAGACATAGATCATTCTGATCGAAGTGAGTAGTAACCAAATTCTTGTGTTCTTGTTTATCTCTTCTTGATTTTTTCGGAATTTCCTCAACAGTGCCATCATCATGCTTTTCAATTTTGATCAAAATCATTCCCAAAAAAATTTAAAACTAGAAAATTCGAACTATTTGTGTAAATATAGTCATCCATGTTTTCTTATCAAGATGCACAAGCTAGCTTGGGATAACATACCCGTGTTGTGTGATCATATGAGACGCCAATCGGATGCCTCGTAGGGTAATAACTAGTTACATCAGCACTTTTCGTCGACAGGTAGTTAAACATGTCGAATTAAAATTCTTATTAGCGACGAACGAGGTGTGTTATAAATCTTACACCAGGACAAAACATTATAGTGATGTTGTGAATGAGATTTATTTTTAGTTAGTTGTTCTATATTTCTTATTTACTTAGATGTTCTTGAGTTTGATATGTATTTTTTTGCCACTTATTCTGCCGACTTTTATTTCTAAAGTGAATAATAAGGAGATGAGGCTGCCCTTGTCCTTCTTAGTCGTAATCATTTCCGGTGATCACAATAATAACAATAGTATGTATACTAATGAATATTTTCATGTAATCATCAATATTCATTGTTCAGAAAAAAAATATATCATTTCGATCAATTATTATTAGCATAAAAAATTATGAAAAGTAAAAATGAAAAAGAAAGACAAAAACACAGATCAACTCAAGAACTTAGGACTGCAATGTATACACACTTATTGATTGGTATTCTCAATTTGTTCAACTCTTCATTAACTCTTACACTTCTATACAGAGAAGTATTCCAATTTCTCCAAAAAGTTTAAGCCATAAGAAATATTGATTATTTATTAATTTCTCAAATATCTTATATATAGTGATGTCAAATGGGGCGGGTTAGCCCCAGACCCTCCTCGGATCTGGTTTTAATAGGGCGGGTTTGGGTCTAAAAAATTTGGTTCGGAGCAGGTTGTGGGTTTTGAGTTTTAGATCCGGCCGGATTTGGGCCGGGTTACGAATTTTACTTAAAACTCGCCCCATTCCGAACCTGGACTCGAATTCGGATTTTTTAATAATTATTATAATTTATTTATATTTTTATACAATATAAATTATACTATTATTTATTTATTTGAAAAAATTTAAATATAAAATAGAACTTTAATTCTAAATCAAATTTATGTTCGCAATTATTTTCCTACAATTCTATTTATAATCGAGACTACTGTTGACCGCCATCACTACGGACTATCGTCAATATTGATTGTTCTTATTTTTAGAACTATAATTTTTTTGGTACATTTTTTTTTAGCGAGATGGGTCTCGGGGTCTGCAAAATCCGTCCCGAATCCGCCCCATTTACATCCTACTTATATATACCCCACAACAAATTAAATGTAGTCTGTGGAATAATTCAAAACAGAAAGTCTTGTTAGCCCAAACTCTACTCAATCTTATGACTTGTATTTCCATTTCTGAGAATTTAGATTTAGAGTTGGGAAGTGAGAATAAGAGAATTGACAACACAAGCAGACAAGAATATGATCATGGGGTAAAAAAAATAAAGTCCATGACTCCATGTTGTAAATGGGAAATATTAATTTCTGTGTTTCCGTATTTCTTATTTATTTAAATGTTCTTGAGTTTGATATGTATTTGCTTGCCGCTGATTCTGCAGACTATTTATTACTTATAAAGTGATAAAGAAGATGAAGCTGCCCTTGCCCTTCTTAGTCATAATCATTTCCTTTGTTGTGTCTCTGAGTGCAACTGTGGTTCTATCGATCTCTTTATCCAAACCTGGCTGCCCGGAAATTTGTGGGAATGTCACCATTCCTTATCCTTTCGGAATTGGTTCCAAATGCAGTGCAAATTCCGACTTTACAATTGTCTGTAAGAACTCCAGCAATACTCAAAAGCCAATCTTGAGCAATGCTGGTAATCTGGAAGTGCTGCAGATCTCTCTAAAAGGTGCAATCATTGTAAACCAGCTTGTGTCGCAGCTAAATTGCTCTTACAAAGACTCAAAACAGCACAGTACTCTACCAATACCACTTCGAGGAAGTCCTTTTTACATCTCATCGATGTATAATGCCTTCTTTACTTTGGGGTGCGAGATAACTGTGTGGCTGCACACCAATATCACTAATGTAGTTGGGGTATGCATGGCTCATTGTAAAAGACATTCAACAGACACCACTTACAATGGCGACAACTGCTGTACTATTACAATTCCTGAGAGACTTCAGGAGCTTCAATTGGAATACCAAAGCACTCCAACGAGCAACAGTACTTTCTGTGGGTATGCCTTCCCTGTAGAAGATAAATGGCTCATTCCAAATAATCTTTGGCTCGTTCCAAATAATCTTTCATCGAATCTATTCGACACAGATTTTGGGTTTGCGCCGCTAGTACTTGAGTGGGAATATTATGATGGTCTAGTTGATGCATCCCCATTAGCTTTATGCAGAGATTTTCAAGATATTTATAATGGAGTTAGTTATGTATCTACATCTAGATATTGCGAGTGTGACAGTGGGTATGAAGGTAACCCATATTTACCTTTGGGATGCACTGATATCGACGAATGTAGCAATGCAACAGTAAAGGAGTACTACTGTGGAGGGGGAACTTGTCGCAACACTAATGGGAGTTTCTATTGCCACCCTAGGGGGAATGAAGGTAACCTATATGTACCCTGGAATGATCGATGGGTTCATCAAAGGTCAGGACACTTAACTCGAATCAAGATAACATTCATTGTTATAGGAAGTGTGATTGGGGTACTCATTTTTGTCGGCTTTGGGGTGTGGAGGATTGGAAAGTTTGTTAGAGAGGCATTAATGGCGATCCGTAGATACATGTATTATAAGCGCAACGGCGGGTTGTTATTGGAGCAACACTTGGCTTCGACTGAGAATGGGCTCGAGAGAACCAAGCTGTTCACTTCAAAGGAGCTCAGAAAAGCTACAGATCATTACAATGAAAATCGTATACTTGGGCGTGGTGGCCAAGGAACCGTCTACAAAGGAATGCTGACAGATGGAAAGATTGTGGCGGTGAAGAAGTCGAAAAAGGTAGATGAAGGTGATCTTGAAGTGTTCATCAACGAGGTTGTTATTCTGTCGCAAATAAACCACAGGAATGTGGTCCGGTTGCTCGGCTGTTGTCTCGAGACTGAAGTACCTCTTCTCGTCTACGAGTTCATCCCCAACGGCACACTCTTCCGCCATATCCATGAGCCGAGCGATGACCTCCCATTAACATGGGAAATGCGTATACGAATTGCATCAGAAGTGGCGGGAGCACTCGCATATTTGCATTCTGCTTCATCTGCACCTATTTATCATCGTGATATCAAGTCGACGAACATACTCCTGGATGAAAAGTACCGTGCCAAGGTTTCGGATTTCGGGGCATCAAGGTCTGTGGCTATTGATCAAACACACATCACTACAAGAGTGTTGGGCACATTCGGTTACTTCGATCCACAGTATTTCCAATCAGGCCAGTTCACAGAAAAGAGCGACGTATACAGTTTTGGCGTGGTCGTGGTTGAGCTCTTGACGGGGGAGAAAGCCGTGACCTCAGCTAGAGCTGAATCGGGAAAGAGTTTAGCCACACATTTCTTGCATACAATGGAGGAGAATAAACTATTCGACATTCTTGATTCAAGAGTCCTCAAAGAGGGTAAGGTAGAAGACATTGTGGCTATTGCTCAACTTGCAAAGAAATGTTTGCGATTGAATGGCAAGAAAAGGCCAACTATGATCGAAGTTGCTGCTACTCTGGAAGGGATTCGTAGAGGCCTGAACGACGACATGGTTTCCGTGCAAAATCTTGATGAAAACAGCATTGATTATCATTCAGCCGAGGTTTCCGACGAGTCTTCTGATCTCTCAGAATGCACAATTACTGCTCAATCATGAGATATTCAAAGTCCATTTCTTGATGAGCCTTGAAGAATTCCAAACCTCTATCTTCCTACATTTCATCTAATGAAATTCCAAAGCTTTTTTTTACTGTCCCCTCTAAATAATAGCAACCCATGTGTTTATATGTGTGTTTATTTTCCATCAAATCTCCAAGGGAGAAGTAAACTTCTTTGTTGTATAATTAAGCATATGAATGTTTTTTTTTACATATTGAGTAATTAATAAGTAAATAAAAAATGTAGTAGTAAAAATAATTATAATTTCATAAAAAATATTATAGATTAAAATTAAAATAACTAAATAGTTTACTTAAAATAAAAAAAATTATAAATTATAAATTTTAAAATGTATAATTATATATATATTTTTTTAAAAAGATAAATTTGGACTATATTCATTAAAAAAAAGCACTTCTATGGAAAATATTATATTTAAAATAATTTTTTTATTTATAATATTACGTAAAATATATATATATATATATGCTTTATGCTTAAAATATTACATTCAATATCTATTTGTAATGAGAAATCTCTTCAATTAATTAATTTCAATTTATCCAAAAAGTTTCAGCCACAAGAATATTGTTATTTATTCCTCAAATATCTTATAATACCCCACAACTGATTAAATGTAGTATGTGGAATAATGCAAAATACGAAGGGTTTGTTATATGTCATTTTCGTCTCTTTGATAGGTGAAAGTTCGGAAAAAGTATGAAAAGCTAGATAATAAAATTTTTTTATAATACAAATAAATAAAAATTAAAAAAATATAATATAAATTTATTATTAAATTATACAAATTACTATACATTTATATTATTATATTCATATCCATCAAATCAATACACATCAAAACTCCTCGAATTCCAATCAAACCCAAACTCAAAAGAAACATCAAAATTTAAATAAAAATCAAACCCAAACCCAAATTTTCCCAAAATCTCCGAAAGAAACACACCCAAAGTCTTGTTAGCCCAAACTCCACTCCATCTTGTGACTTGTATTTCCAATTATGAGTATTTTACATTTAGAGTTGGGAAGTGATAATTAGAGAAGTCACTACAAAGGCAGGAGAGGATATGAGTTTATGTTGCTGTCAAACTATATATGTTTATAAAATTCGTTATTTCTGTTTTTATTCCTCGAATATATTAACCCACAACTTATACTTAGTCTATCGAAAAATATGAAACACGAAAGGTGTTTTTCTTTGGTATTTATATTTTTATGTATTTTTATTGTATTGTACTAAAAATGATAAAAAGTATTATAAGCAATGATATTTATGTACTTATTGACTTTTGTATATTTTTGTTGACTTTTATAATAAAATATCACTCAAAATGTATATTTATTACTTTGCCCTCTTTTGTCAAAGACAAGCTAGCAAACAAAGAAAGACATATACTGACCGTCTAATGTGACTTGGCTTTGTCGAATCTAATATGCAAGTTATAGATTTGACTGAAAGTTTACCAAGTACGCACTCATCAAGAAAAGACTGCGAGGTACTTGTCACTTCTCCCATTGTTTGGTTCATTTTCCCATTTAATATTGCATTTGGTTGGTAAGATTAGTACTCTAATTAATTTTTTTTTTTTTTTTTTTTAATAGTGTTTCTAAATAAATTTGCTATCAGACTCTATTGTATATTTTCCATGGTAAAATGATACAAAATTATGAAATATAGCAATGAGCTAGGGAGAAGAAATAAAGTATGTCAAACATTATTGGATCTTGCAGCAACGAGGAAGAACTTTATGTGATATGTGACAACAATAGAGTAGAAAAAATTACACTCCTCAAAATTTTCATTGAAACTAGAGAGGAAATGAAGAACAGAGCACTCGACATTTTGGGACTTCTTCGCATGTTCTGTATTCACTTCAATCTAATGAAAAAACAATATATAATAACTTTAGGGTAAATTATTTTTTTTAGTCCCACTCTTTTATCATTTTAGTTTTTGGAGGTTGTTTTAAACTAGTCTTGTAAGTAAATTTTTTTTCAGGCAGGTTGGCAGATATAAATTTTAGACTAGTCTTTTTCTAATTTTATTTTTTAATAAATAAAAATTAAATTAAAATTAAAGATATAAAATATATAAAAAATATAATATAAAAATATAAAAATTAAAAAATAAAATTAAAAAATAAAAATTATCCACATATTCGTCAGATCAGCGCCACGTGGCCGATAAGTGGATTAATTATATTTTTTATATTGAAAATAAAAAATATAATATAAAAAATATAATTGAAAAATATACTAATATATAAATTATTAAAAAAAAGTCATATAATTCTGACTTGACGGAAATATGGATAATTTTATTTTTTGTTTTATTTACTTTTAATTTTATATTTTTATATTATATTTTTATTTTTATAATTGTAAATTTTTATATTTAAAAAAATAAAAAATAATAATCCACGTGGCGAACATGTGTAAGTAGCGTTGATCTGGCCGACACGTGTCCGCCGGCCTGCCACGCAGATGTCACCTAGGCATTGAAGACTAAATTAAGACAAACTCCACCTATGAACTAAAATGATAAAAGGTCTGAACTAAAAAATCGGTTTACCTTAACTTTCAAGGACACTTGGGTTGTTGTTATATTATGAGGGAACTTACAGAAACTTTGGTATTGTTGTATGAGATTAATTGCAGGTAGAAAGAGATGCAGCAACTTTAAGGCTCGTCAAGAAATAAAGACTGTTAAAATATATTTAGAAACAATATTTTATATTTATAATAGTTATCTTATTTAAGAGATTTATAAAAAAATTTGTCTTATTTAAACAATTTATATATCATTATAAATATATATCGTATTCTTACAATTGAAATAGATAATTTTAGTTTCATATTATATCATGGTATTAAAGTCAAATTCTCTCCGAGTACATCTATGTCCTGTTATACCCATATATATTTTTATATTTTATTAATGTATCTACTTCTATTCACAGTCATGCTAGCTTATGCTGTTATTTTTATGTCGTTTCCGTGTCTACTACTTCGCTGACAGAGTCTACTTTCGACTCTAACGCCGGTAAGTGTTCTATTTTCGACTCTAACTCTATTAAGAACGAGGGAGTTCGGTTTTCGACTCTAGCTCTGTTGTGACCGAGCAAGTCCTGTTTCCGACTCTAGCTCTATAGAGTGAGCGAGTCCTGTTTTCGATTCTAGTTCCGTTGTGAGCGAACGAGTCATGCTTCCAACTCTAACTGTGTTGAGAGTTCTGCTTGACTTTGATCCAGTAGACCACTACATCACCTTCAGTGAATCTTAGCGAATTCAAATTCGTACATAGAAGATCTCGACTATATTTTTTTCGGTCACTTCTGACAAACTCAAGATCTAGAGTGTTAAAATATATTAAGAAACAATATATTATATATATAATAGTTATCTTATTTAAGAGATTTATATAATTCGTTGTCTTATTTAGACGATTTATATATCATTATAAATATGTACGTATTTCTTATGATTGAAATAGAGAATTTCAGTTTCATATTCTAACAGAGATTATGAATATCTCGTGAGTGAGTAGCAATTGTGTCGACATGTCTGCATTCTGTGATGGATGAGAAATCAGAAGACTCATCAGAAACCTCAACTGAATGGTGATCAAGATGTTGCACGGAAACCATGTCGACCTTCAACCCTCTTCGAATTCCTTCGAGATCAGCAGCAACTTCTTTCATAGTTGGCCTTTTCTTGCCATTCAAGTGGAGACAATCTCTAGCAAGCTCAGAAATAGCCACAATGTCTTCTACTTTACCCTCATTGAGGACCCTTGAATCAAGAATGTCGAATAGTTTATTCTCCTCCATTGTATGCAAGAAATGTGTCGCTAAACTCTTTCCCGATTCAGCTCTAACTGAGGTCACTGCTTTCTCCCCGGTCAAAAGCTCAACCACAACCACGCCAAAACTGTATACGTCGCTCTTTTCTGTGAACTGGCCTGATTGGAAATACTCCGGATCGAAGTAACCAAATGTCCCCAACACTCTTGTAGTGATGTGTGTGTGATCAATGGCCACAGATCTTGAAGTCCCGAAATCTGAAACCTTGGCTCGGTACTTTTCATCCAGGAGTATATTCGTTGACTTGATATCCCGATGATAAATAGGTGCAGATGAAGCAGAGTGCAGATATGCAAGTGCTCCCGCCACTTCTGATGCAATTCGGATACGCATTTCCCATGTTAATGTGAGGTCGTCGCTCGGCTCATGGATATGGCGGAAGAGTGTGCCATTGGGGATGAACTCGTAGACGAGAAGGGGCACTTCAGTCTCGAGACAACAGCCAAGCAGCTGGACCACATTCCTATGGTTTATTTGCGACAGAATAACAACCTCATTGATGAACACTTCAAGATCACCTTCATCTACCTTTTTCGACTTCTTCACAGCCACAATCTTTCCATCAGTCAGCATTCCTTTGTAGACGGTTCCTTGGCCACCACGCCCAAGTATACGATTTTCATTGTAATGATCGGTAGCCCGTGTGAGCTCCTTTGAAGTGAACAGCTTGGTTTTCTCGAGTCCATTTTCAGTCGAAGCCAAGTGCTGCTCCAATAACAACCCGCCGTTGCGCTTATAATTCATGTATCTACGGATGGCCTTTACTACCTCCCCGACAAATTGACCAGTCCTCCACACCCCATAGAGCAGAGTGATTACGCCAATCACACTCCAAATAACAATGAATGCTATCTTGATTCGAGTTCTTGAGCAACCTGAGCTTTGATGATCCCTGGATAAATATGGGTTACCTTCATACCCACTGTCGCAATAGAAACTCCCATTAGTGTTGATACAAGTTCCCCTTCCACGACATCTCTCCTTTAGTGTTGCATTGCTACATTCGTCGACATCAGTGCATCCCCAAGGTAAATATGGATTACCTTCATACCCACTCTTGCACTGGCAATATCCAGATGTCGACATATAACTGTAGTCATCATAAGATCCATCAGAATCTGTGCAAATACTTCCATGGGAAAGACCCATTGGATTATTATACACCCACTCAAGTACTAGAGGTGCAAAGCCAGAATCTGTGTCAAATTGATTCAATAATAGATCGTTCCGGAAGAACCATTTCTCTTGAACAGGGAAAGCATAGCCACAAGTACCATTGCTGATTTGAGTGCCTTGGTTTGCAAATCAGAGCTCCTGAAGCCACTCTTGAATTGGTATCTGGCAGTAGTTTAGACCATTCCAAGTGGAGTCTGTTGAATTTCTTTGGCAAAAGGTCGAGCATTCGCCTTTGCCGATGCCACTGGTGTGAAGCCAGTCTGTTTTTTTGCAGCCCAGATTAACAAAGTCATTATACCTTGATGAGATATAGAGAGGACTACCCAGAAATGATATTGGAGGAGTGTGCTGTGTCGGGTAATCGTAAGAGCAATTCAGCAGCGACAGAAGCTGGTTTACAATGATTGTACCTTTGAGGAAGATCTGCAGCACTTCCAGATTATCAATACTGCTCAAGATTGGCTTTGGAGGATTGGTGGAGTTCTTACAGAAAATTGTAAAGTAGGAATTGGCACTGCATTTCCGAAAGGATAGGGAATGGTTGCATCCCCACATTTTTCTGGGCAGCCATGCTTGGACAAAGAGATTGATTGAGCTACCATTGCATTCAGAGACACAAAGGAAATGATTACGACCAAGAAGGACAAGTGCAGCCTCGTCTCCTTATTTCATCAAACAATATTCTTCAGAATCGACCAGTGGGAACCAAATACCAAAAAGTAGCAGACTGAGAAAAGCAAAAGAAAAGGAGGTAGCCCACCATTACCACAGGGAAACAATACACTTAATTAGTAACTTTGGGGGACGGTTAGAGTGCTGAATTGAAAAAATCAGCACCGTGCACCGGTAATATATACAAATAGCACACAATTTTATTATACAATACATAACAATAGCATGTATTGTAGGTTTATAATTACAAGTGTGTTGAATTTTAAACCTCAGCACCGTAGCCGTTGTCCTGATGTAAAATTTGTAATTTTTGTCCTACAAAACATCTTATTGTCCACCAACCCGCAACCTCCGGCCGAACACACTGGACGAACCATGTGTGGCAGGTGACCCGGAGGTTTTGAGGGTTTGAATTCATGATCTCATGGTCTCGAATCCACCCCACACCACCAGGACATCTTTTACAGAACAGGTAGAAACTATTTTTGGAATTACTTCAAGTCGCGTAAGGTTATTTGCTTCATATGATATTTTGACTCTATTACAGCTTTGGGTTTCATGAAATTCATATCAAAATAAAACAAAACAACACTCAAAATTTAGGCAAAAGTTCGAGCGCATAGAAAATTGGGAGAATATTTGTGTTTTGCAAATTAAGTTTCTAGAGATATGGAGACTATGCATGTTTTCACTATCCGACTTATGTTCACTCTTTGAAGACAAGAGTTATATTACAAATATTAAAGTATCTAATTTCTAAAAGATGTGATATGAAATTTGAATCCAAAATCACCATTTTTTCATTGGAAAAATCAACTCAAATTTTCAATTGATGTGACGCAATTATTTCCTTGAAGTTGTCATTTCAATTTTGAATAAAATTTAAGTTTAGAAAAATTTTACTTTTCAAATAAAATTCAAGAGGCATCCGAATACTTTTAAAAATATATAATTTTTTCATATTGTTGGATTAGATTATAAAACTATTTCATTAGTCATGGGTATGACAAAGAAAAATTAAATTTTTGAAATTTTTGGGAATGTAAAGAAAAAATTTCAAATAAAATCTCCTTCAATTAGTCATGGTCATGACTAAGTCATTGTCCTCGTTTATAATTATATGTTTAACATTATTTATTATTTCATTTATTATTTCATACTTCAACCAATATTGTATAGGCATCCTCGAGCATGCATCGTAAGCAATCATTCCAGAAGATAGTTCAGCATGAAATTTCTCAATCTTTGAATAAATCCAATAATAATAATAAAATAATAAACAATTGTCATGTCAACAAAACACTAGTGCCCTAATGTTTCAAACAGTTAGGATCAATTTGTTAAAATGTTAATCAGAAATGAAACTTTCCCAGACAGTTTCAGTTTTTCATTTGGCCAATTTTATTTCGAATCACTATAAGAAAATATCAATTTTGTAACGAAGTTTTTTCGTTCTTAAATTCACTTTTTTCTTTACTAATGACATTAGAGACGGAATTATGAATGAAATTATGTTAGCTACGTGAACTTTATGGACGAAATTCCGTTCCAAATATAATAGTATTTTTTTTTTTTTTTTTTGTAGTGAATGGTTTTAATTAGCCCAAAATTACATATTAAGCTTTGAACGGGGTGTTTATGCATTTTTTTCTTCTTCAAATTTAATTCTGTTCAGCTGTATTTTTGTAAAACTAAAAGTATCTCTTAAACTTTAGTCTAAATTAACCAGTAATGTCAGTATAACGCAACGCGGACATGTTAAACAGTCAGATACTTCGATATTTTTCATCAGACATTAGAACAAGCGTGGGACTGCAAGTTTTACTACAAGGTAGTGCCAACAAATACTTTTGCCATGAGAGTAGGAAGTGTTATACACAGTGTTGTTAATTAGATTGTTTTTGCAAAAATATGCATCAGCGAAAAATCGAGGCAGTAAAATATATATGATCTAATAAATTGCAGTCCATAGAACAGCATGGTAGTGGTATACTTGATCAAAATTGAAAGCCATTATTGTAGTGAGGCAAATAAACACTACAAAAAAGTAGTATATTTGTAACGGAATTTCGTTCCTAAAGTTCACGTAGCTAACGTAATTTCATCTCTAATTTCGTCTCTAATATCATTAGTAACGGAAAACATGGACTTAAGAACGAAAAAATCTCGTTACAAAATTGATATTTTTTGTAGTGTAAAGAAGGTTACCTTTAGCTGTTTGGTTGTGTATGTAAATTTGGTTTTTCAAGTCTTCAACCCCAGCATATATATTAAGAGAAAAAAAAAAAAAAAAAAAAACCCAGCATATATATTATATACTACACTGCTTATGACTTCTCTAATATAATTATCACTTCCCAACTCTAAATTAAATATAAATATTGAAATGGAAATAATGCTAAGACTTGATCATCAAATGGACTGGCCTTTGGGCTAACAAGACTTTGTGTTCTGCATTATTATTCCAAAGACCACATTTAAGTTGTGGGTCAAGTTATTCAATGAATAGATAATAAGTATCCATATGCATATGGGAGAGACTTTTTGGAGAAATTTAAATTATTTAATAACCATTACTCCATCGTTCTTATTTTAATAAAAATAATTATAGATTAAGAAAACTAAATAGTTTAATAAAGATTAAAAAAATTATAAATTAAAAAATTTAAAATATAAGTAAAATGTATAATCATATTTTTCTGAAAAAAAAGACAAATTATTTTAGATGAATGAAAATAGAAATTAATGACAAATTATGGACGGAGGGAGTATTATTTTATAAAATACTTTGATGAATGGAACCAAAAGTTAACTTTCAAAAGTGTCTGTAATTTATGAGAATAAAATTAAAACCAAGTTTAAAATTCAAAATTTTGTGAAAAATATATTCAAACTAAATCGAATTCTTTGAATTCTGAAAATTCACAATCTGAGTTATCAAATCACAACAAAATTAAAATTTAAAATTTAAAAACTGTATAACATATTAAAAAAATTAAAAATTTCATTTTTTAAATTTATTTAGATAAAATAATTAACAAACAAATAATGCACAACAAATCAAAATACAAACAAAAACATGATCGATGCTTTTGTTATGTAAAAAAAATATATAATAAATACAATTAATACGTGCTTATTTTGAGGGTTAAGTTGACCGCCATTTAATATTACAAATTTTATAACAACAAAGACTTTTTGTACTTTGATTTGTAGTAGCAGTAGAAAATTCAGAACAAAGTCCACACAAAAACCTATTTTGCACTAAAATTAGGTTTTTATTACGATTTTTTATCGCTACAAAAAAAGGTTTTTTTTTAGTGCATAGAGACAAGATCATCTAACAGTTAAATCTTTTTTAAACACATTCGATACAATATACCCCTAAATATAATTTAATATATTACTCTATATGTCATGTAAAAAATTTGATCGGTACAAAAAGTTGGTAAAAGTTTAAAAAAAAAAAAATCCTTTCATAATAGAAAAAGTAGTACTATTGTTTACCAAAAAGAAAAATGATAATAAATTTGGATGACAAAAAAAAAAATGGAAATAAGTTTAGATGACAGAGAGTAGGGGTGAGCATTCGAATTTTCGATTCCAAGTTCGAATTTTTGGCAAAAACTAATCCGAACTGATCCGAAATAACTGAAATCTAAAATCTGAACTAAAAAATCCCAAATGAACCGAACCGAAAAATTCAAAAAAATCCGAAATTCTAAATTTTTTTGTTATTTTTTATAATTTCATATTTTTATAATTGTTTTATAATACTTATATATATAATAAATAAATATAAATATAAAAATATTAAAATATAATTAATAATTTTTAGTTCTTATTTTTATTAAAATATTAATTATATATATATAAGAAAAAATATTATATTTTGGATTTCGGAATGGTTCAGATTTTTAGTATACCGTTTCGAATCGATCCAAAAATTCGAAAAATCTGAACCAAATTTTAAATTTCGATTTGATTCGAATTGAATATTCGGATTTCGGATATTTTGCTCACCCCTAATAGAGAGAGAGAGAGAGAGTATTATATTTTCAATTTCATATTTGCATGAATTTTCAGGTTTATGGATCCAAACTCATCCAAAAATCTAAAACTTAAAAAAAGTTGGAACCGATTTAATCCAGAAATTCCAAACAAAATGTAAATTCCAATTTGGTTTGAATTGAATATTCTAATTTCCCATATTTTGCCCACTTCTACTTACTCCTCAAATATCTTACCCCACAGCTTATATGTAGATAAGTCTGGAAAAATGTGAATCACAAACCATTTGACGACAAGAGCAGCAAAGTCTTGCATTATTTCCATTTATGAGTATTTAGGGTTTGGGAGAAATCATATATATATATGATGGGGTTGAAGACCTGAAGCAAACTTAATTACATGTTCAGATCATACATACAACACAGGGTAAGGGTTGAGGTAACCTTTCTGCTTTTCAATTTTGATCAAAAAATATCATTCTCATTCCGATGTGTCGAGATATTTTAGATATTTAGTTTTAGATTTAATAGATTTAGATTTAGTTTTATGTTGTTTATATTTGAGTTTATCGAATATGTTGCCTATATTTTGGTTATGAATAAAATACAAAAAATTTTCAGTTTACATAAAATATTTTTAGGGGATGGTCAGGGTCCTGATTTGAACCATGCTGATTTTTCAACTCAGCACACAATATTATTACATACACTGTATAACAAAAATATGTTCTGTTTTTTTATAATAACAAGTGTTTTGTATAAGAGTATGTCATCTGCTAAAATCAATTGTTGTGTGTGTTGTATGAGACTATAATATATGTTGTTAGTTCATGTGTTGTATTTGTATTATTATACTTATTAACATATATAATATGTTGTTTGTAAGAATAATGTATGTTGTCAAACAACATACGATGTTCTGTTGAGATTATAACATGTATTATTTGTTCATGTGATGTATTTGTACTATATTAGCATATATAGTGTGTTATATATAGTAATATTATGTTTCTCAAACGGCACACCATGTGTTGTTCAGCACAGTGCTGATTTTTAAAGTGAGCTTGGCCTCGACCGCCATATTTTTAACACCATGGTCATGAAGTTCTTCTGCAATTTATTAAACAAAATCAAATATATTTAATTTCCTGCCTGATTTGTCACTTTTACATATTTTTTGGGAGGCATATTTTTATACCTGTATAACACTTTTACTCACTTTGTAAGACGAGATTATAATCCCTAATTAGCTTGATTAAATATGATAAGATGAACTTTTTATACACATTATTTGGGATTATAAATTACTCCCTCCTTCGTAAGAGGAATTCATTATCCTTGATTATAAGATTATTATCTAAAGTAAATTAACAAGTGATTACTGTATAAAATAATAGAAAAAATTGTTTTTTTACTCTAGTTTCCCTGACTCGATCGAGCCTATATAGGAATAGTCTCATATCTCAGTTTGTTTTGGCGGAGTTGAGTATGTGGCATCGGCGTTGGAGCACACGTGTCCGCCAAATAGGTGGTACTTGGAGGACACTTGTAATTTTTTTTAAAAAAAAAAAAAAAATTAAAATTCACATGTCCGTCAGGTGGCGCTTACTTGGCGAACACGTTTACTCCAGCGGATGCCACATGCCCATCTCCAGGGCCAGAGACCAGTTGTTGCAAAAAAAAATTCATTTACGGGACGATTTCTATACAAGTTTCAGTTCAAAACTAAAATGATAAGAGAGTTTGACTAAAAAAAATCAGTATTCCAAAATAATACAATCAAACAAAAGATGTCTATGCTGTGTTGTACCAACATGACTAGGATGGTATGAACATGTTTGTATTCTTTCATCGGTAAATTTGTAGATTTGTTCGTACATGAATGATGTTTAATCGATTTTTAGGCCAAAGTAATGCTTATTTCATTTTTTTTTTCCTAAAATCACTTTTTTTGTTATTAAAATTACTTTTTTCGTTACTAATAACAACGGAATTAAGGTTAGTTATATGAAATTTATGGATAAAATTCTATTACAAATATATTATTTTTTTGTAGTGTGAGCTATTTCCCTGTTTGCTGGAATTACACTGAAAATGGACTGATGATGGGACTACCAAAAAATCGAGCTTTTGTAGCGAAAAATTGACCTCAACAATATATTGGCGACAAATGGTGGTATTAGTTACGATTTTGGTCGTGTTGAAAAGCCATTTTCTTTTGGCATTCTCAGTCTGCAACTTATTTTAAGAAACAAGGAGATGAGGTTGCCCTTGCTCTTCTTACCGGTAATCATTGCCTTTGTGTCTCGGAATGCAACTGTGGCTCTATCAATCTCTTTGTCGAAGCATGGCTGCCAAGAAAAATGTGGGAATGTCGTCATTCCCTATCCATTTGGAATTGGTTCAGAATGCAGTGCAAACTCCTCATTTACAATTGTTTGTAAGAGCTCTACATATCCCCCGACGCCAATCTTGAGCAGTATTGATAATTTAGAAGTGCTGGAAATCTCCATAGAAGGTACACTAATTGTAAACCAGCCTGTGTCGCCGCTAAATTGCTCTTACAATGGCTCAAAACAGCACAGTATTCTACCAATATCACTTGGGGGAAGTCCTTTCTACATCTCATCGAGGTATAATTCCATGGTTAATTTGGGCTGCGGAAAAACTGTGTGGCTGCTCACCAATGTCATTGGTAAATGCGCGGCTGTTTGTCGAGGAAATTCAGCAGACACCACTTGCGATGGTGTCAACTGCTGCCGGATACCAATTCCAGAGCGACTTCAGGAGCTTCAAATGGTGTACCAAATCACTCAAACCAGAAATGGTACTTTCTGTGGGTATGCCTTCCCTGTTCAAGAGAAATGGTTGTTTCGAAATGATGCAATATATCCACTGGACAGAGATCTCAGATTTGTACCTCTAGTACTTCAGTGGTACGCTTATAATATAGTAGATCGTTCCCCCGAATCTACTTGCATGTATTTTGAAGGACCTAATGATGGAAGCAGTCATGCGTCATCGCCCGTATTTTGCCAGTGCAAGAATGGCTATGAAGGTAATCCATATCTACGTTGGGGATGCACTGATATCGACGAATGCAGCAATGCAACAATAATGACGAGCAACTGTGAAGGGGGAACTTGTGTCAACACTAATGGGAGTTACCAATGCCACTGGAATCAAAGTTCAGGTCGCTTCAATACTCGAATCAAGATACCATTAACTGTGATTGGCACTGTGTTTGGAGCACTCATTTTACTCTATGGGGTGTGGAGGTTTGAAAAATTTCTCGGCCAGGGAATAAACGCTGTTCCTAGATACATGTATTATAAGCGCAATGGTGGGTTGTTATTGGAGCAGCACTTGGCTTCGACTGAAAATGGGCTCGAGAAAACCAAGCTGTTCACTTCAAAGGAGCTCACACTCGCTACAGATCATTACAATGAAAATCGTATACTCGGGCGTGGTGGCCAAGGAACCGTCTACAAAGGAATTCTAAAAGACCGAAAGATTGTGGCTGTGAAGAAGTCGAAAAAGGTAGATGAAGCTGATCTTGAAGTGTTCATCAATGAGGTTGTTATTCTGTCCCAAATAAACCACCGGAATGTGGTCCGGCTGCTTGGCTGTTGTCTGGAGACTGAAGTTCCTCTTCTCGTCTACGAGTTCATCCCCAACGGCACACTCTTCCGCCATATCCATGAGCCGAGCGATGACCTCCCATTAACATGGGAAATGCGTATACGAATTGCATCAGAAGTGGCGGGAGCACTCGCATATTTGCATTCTGCTTCATCTGCACCTATTTATCATCGTGATATCAAGTCGACGAATATACTCCTGGATGAAAAGTACCGTGCCAAGGTTTCAGATTTCGGGGCATCAAGATCAGTCTCGATTGATCAAACACACATCACTACAAGAGTGGTGGGCACATTCGGTTACCTCGATCCAGAGTACTTCCTATCAGGCCAGTTCACAGAAAAGAGCGACGTCTATAGTTTTGGTGTGGTTGTGGTTGAGCTCTTGACTGGGGAGAAACCAGTGCCCTCAGTTAGAGCCGAATCAGGAAAGAATTTAGCGGCACAGTTCTTTCATACAATGGAGGATAATCAATTGTTCGACATTCTTGATTCAAGAGTCCTCAACGAGGGTAAGGTAGACGAGATTGTGGCTATAGCTGAACTTGCAAAGAAATGTTTGTGCTTAAATGGCAGAAAAAGGCCAACTATGAACGAAGTTGCTGCTACTCTGGAAAGGATTCGTAGAGGGTTGAACGACAACATGTATTCCACCACATACCTCGATCACAAAATCGATGAAAACATTTCAATAGAGGTTTCCAATGAGTCCTACGACTTCTCCAAAATCTCCGAATTTGTCGACACAATCACTGCTCAATCATGAAGTATTCATATCAAACATCGTCTTTTATGTCCGTAGTCATATGACATGCATAATATAAACTCCCTCCCTCCCGTTTTTTATCAAGATATATATCGAGCATGTTGATTGGTTTTTCAATCTACAAATTTGGTCGATGTGACCATATTTCCTACAATTGTTACACCAAGGCTTATCATTGATGCTTATCTTTGTGCCAATAGTTCCGATCAACATGATTGAATAATCCAAATAAGCACAATGTTATGAGTTTCCAACATGAGAAAATCTTTGAGTCGTTGGTGTGTTTGTTTGGGGGATTGAATTAAATTTTCACTATTCATCCCATTCCCTCCCTCCCCCCCCCCCCTAAAAAAAAATATCAAATCAAACACCTATTTTTTATTTTTTATATTATACTAAAAATTAATTTTACATTCAAAACATCACATCAACACCTATTTATATCACATAATACAACTATTCAAATTCAAAATTTTCACTATTCAAATTTCAACTCAAAATCCAAACCCCCAAACAAACAAACCCTTAATTTCGACCTCTTGTCTAAATGAGATTAGCTAATTATTACTCCATCCGTCCAATATATGATGTCCTATTTACTGTAGACACGAAAAATAATTACGACACGGTAAGGTGAGATGGAAGAAGTATATTTTAAGCTTTTTAAATTAATTTAATTATAATATAAGGTCATTTTAGTTCAATGGATATTTACAAGCAAATTTTAGATTAATAAATTTGGATTATTTGGAATTTAAAAAATAATAATTTAAACTCATTGCTTGATTATAGGAAAATGTTTTAAGGGCCGTTTGCATTAATTTAAAAAATAAGCCGAAGCTAAATCAGAAGAAGTAGTTCGATTTTATATTTGAATGAATAATTATAAAAGTAATTTTTTATAAAAAAAATTGTTTTGATATAATAAAGTTAAAAGTGCGATTAAAATAACCAAATAGAACATAGTAATGTAAATAATATATTTTATTAAAATTTTCTAATTTATTTAGAATTTTATAAATTATAATTAAACATTTTAAATTATCTAAACTAATTGACAAGATATTTATTAAATTTTATGTATTAATTATGTTTATATTTTTTAATTTTTTATAAAAATTAAAATTAAAAAATTAAAAAAATTTAAATAATAGTATTCTACAAATTATTTTAACTTTAAAAAGTATATTTAAAAATATTAAATATGTACTATATAATTAAAATTTATATTTTTAAATTTTGATATTTTCAATTACATATTTTTAATTAAATTAAAATAAAAATATATAAATTAATAACTAAAATACAATTATATTTAAATTTTATAAATGAATTGTTTTTATTTTACTGTATCTTATTTATTTATTTAATTTTTTTTATTTATTATTATTATTATTATTATTATTATTATTATTATTATTAAAATTGTAATTTAGATAGTAAAATTTCAGAAGTCCGTCCTTCTCAAAAAAGTACATTTGGAGCCTAAAAATTGCTTTTGCTTTTGAAGAGAAGTCAATACAAACAGAAATAAATATTTTTTTTTTTTTTTCGAGGGAAGCCGAAAATACTTTTCAAAAGTCAATCGAAACGGAGTCTAAATAATCCAAGATTTACATTCTTAAATAATAATTTGAAATTTTAGTTATAAATTTGAAATCCATTGCATTTGAACCATAAGGGGTAGTGAGTGGACTTTTAACTAGGATAGCTTTTAACTTTGATCCATCACTATACATGTCTTTTGCATCTTCTTGTATTCATTCACCTTTCATCTTGCATTCTTTTCACTTACAACCTTCCATTGTTAGGAGTGTGAGCGGAAAATTTAAAAGAGCCCCAGAATACACATGGTTCATTCAAGATGATCAAACTTTCACTATCAAGATAATAACACAAAATAGGCTTAATAGCAATTCTAAAGCCTACAACTCTCAATCTCTCAAAAGTCCTCGAAGCAAAACAAGTAAGCCACAACTAAAACAAGTAAGCCACAACTATATATGGTTTTAATTTAGTCTAACGCAACACGGACATGTTAAACAATCAGATACATCCGACATTTTTCATCAGACGTTAGAACAAATGTGCGACTGCAAGTTTTACTACAAGGTAGTGCCAACAAAAACTTTTGCCATGAGAGTAGCAAGAGTTATACACAGTATTGTAATTTAGAGTGTTTTTTTTACAAAAATATGCATCAGCGAAAAATCGATGCAGTAAATATATATGATCTAAATTAGGGATGTCAAATAGAGTGGGTAAACCCCGGACCCGCCCCAGACCCGGTCTTAATGGGACGGGTTCGGGTCTAAAAAATTTGATGCGGGGCGGGTTGTGGATTTTGAATTTTAGATCCGGCCGGGTTCGGGGCGGTTACGGGTTTTACTATAAATCCGCTCCATCCGGACTCGGATCCGAACCCGGATATTTTAATAATTAGTATAATTTATTTATATTTTTATACAATATAAATTATATTATTTTTTATTTAAAAAATTTTAAATATAAAATAGAACTTTAATTCTAAATTAAATTTATGTTCGTATTTGTTTTTCCTACAATTCTCTTTATAATTGGGACTGCTGCGGACCGCCATCACTTATTGTTCTTATTTTTAGAACTATATTTTTTTGGTATTTTGACACATACTTTTTTTTAGTATTAAATTATTTTTTTAAAAAAAAAAACGGATTTGTCGGATTAACCCCGAACCCGGAGGATTCGGGGCGGGACAAGTCCTGGGGCCGGGTTGAAGTGGGGCGGGGCGGATCTTGAGTCCTAATATTTTCTAGCGGGGTGCATCTCGGGGCCTGCAAAACCCATCCCGAACCCGCTCCGTTGACATCCCTAGCCCCTGCATCCCTAGTTGTTTGATTGTGTATGTAAATTTGCTTTTTCAAGTCTTCACATGGGGCGGGTTAGTCCCGGATTCGCTCCAGATCCGGTCTCAATGGGACGAGTTCGAGCCTTAAAAAAATTGGTTCGGAGCGGGTTATGAATTTTGAGTTTTAGACCAGGCCAGATTTGGATCCGAATCCGAATATTTTAACAATATTGTAATTTATTTATATTTATATACAATATAAGTTATATTATTTAGTTATTTAAAAATTTTAAATATAAAATAGAACCTTAATTGTAAATAAAATTTGTGTTTGCATTTGTTTCTCCTGCAATTCTTTTTATAATTTGGACTATTGTTTGTCGTCATCGCTACGAACTATTGTCAATATTTGATTGTTTTTATTTTTAGAACTATAATTTTTTTTTGTTACTTTGAGGCATATTTTTTTTAGTATTAAATTATTTAAAAAAATTATATTTTATTATTTTCTTAAAAAAATGAGTTTGTCGGATTGGCTGGGACAAATCCTAGGGACGAGTTGAAGCGGGATGGGATGGGTTTTAAGTTCTAACATTTTCTAGTGTAGCAGATCTCGGGCCTACAAAATCCGTTCCGAACCCACACAGTTGATATCGTGACTTATGACTTCTCTGGCTATCACTTTCCAACTCTAAATTAAATATAAATATTAAAATAGAAATAATGCAAGACTTGGCCATCAAATGGAGTGGCATTTGGGCTAACAAGACTTTGTGTTTTGCATTATTATTCCAAAGACCACATTTAAGTTGTGGGGTAACTTAGTCAAGTAAAAGATAATATGGGCAAGACTTTTTTTTTGGAAAAATTAAAATTATTTAATTTGAGAGACAAATTGTTATTGATTTTTATAAAATTATAAAAATAAATGATTGAACAATTACTTATTTATTTATTTTATTAAAAAAAAATGTTTGGGATATTTTATGTTTTTTATTGGTATAAAAAAACTTTTTATTAATTTAGGTCTTTATTTAAAATCAAAAATCAGTTTTGGACAAGTGTTTCATTCAAACTTTAAATTAACATATTTTCAAAACGGATTAGGTGCTGATAGTCCAAAAATCAGTACCGTGCTGAAAAATTTTCAACCGTTGGATCTTAATGGTGAAAAGGATAATGAGTTTGATGATAATGAGGTGGATAGTATCAGTAGTGCCGTAGTGGCAGATGCAGAGATGGTGATGAGCTGGGTTTGTTGATGATGGTTATGACAGCAGCACAAAGCAGCTCAGTGGAGAAGCAGGTGGCGGTGGTGGTGATGGTGAAAGAAAAAGAGAACAACAACGGTGGAAGTGGTGGAAGAGAACAGTTGGACGGTGATAGTGATGGTGGTGGAGGTGGCAGCCATGGTGATGGTGAAAGAGAAGGAGAACAACCGCGGTGGAGGTGGTTGAGGAGAACAGTTGGACGGCGATGATGGTGGTGGCGGAGGAGGAGAACAATTGAGCGGCAATGGTGGTGATGGAGGAGGATGAGGCGACCATAGTGACGGTGAAATAGAAAGAGAACAACAGCGGCGGAGGTGGAAGGAGATGAAAATGGCAACAGGAGCGGCGGTGACGGTAGTGGAGGATGAGATGGCGGTGCTTGCGGCAGATTTTAGGCGGCTCAGCACGGTGCTGAGTTTTGGTTGTTCAGCACCGGATCCAAATCCTTTTCAAAATACAAATTATTTTTGTACATTTTTACTAAAAACACAAAAAATATTATATGATTTACCCAAATATTTATTAAAAACTCGAAGGGGAAATTAGAGATTTATATGTTCGAAAACTGTTGAGGCCTTGAAGAATTAGTCCAAAATAAGAAATTTGCAATAAAATGAAATAAAATAGGGAAAAAGGCTCCAAAGAGTAGAAAATTGTTGATGTGAGGTCTTAAACAATTCAGAGTTTGTTGTTCAATTAGTATCAAATGTGTGAATTTTGTCTAATTTTAAATACAAACATTAAAAATATATATATAAAAAATAGTCTTCAAAAGGATTAGAGTGAATTTTGTCGACTTTGTGTTTGTTAGTGATACAATTTTTTATATGTATTATAACAAAAAATATATATATATATATACCGAATTTTAAATTCAGCATTGTGCTGACCAGGACATGGTATTACTTACATACAACACATTCTATATGTTAATATAATACAAATATATCACATGAACAAAAAAACACATGTTATAGTTTAACAGTACATTATGTGTGCTGTCTGACAACACACATTATTATAACAGACAACACATTTTATATGTTAATATAATATGAATATAACACATCAACTAACAAATGTGTGTTGTTTGTACATATAACATGTGCTGAGTTGAAAAATCAGCATAGCACTCTAACTATCCCCATATAATATATATATATATATATATTTATATTTTATCTATTCACAAAGTTCGACACCATTCACTGTACCTAATATAAAAAATACATTCATCCAAAAACGTAACGTGGGTTCTAGTTAATGAAAATAGTAATTCAGCAATGAGTATTTCCAATCCATCAACATATTAATCGATCATGAGATGAAATTGAAATCAAACATTCTGCAGATCACCATCATATAGAACACTTGCTTAACTACTGATTTATTCTGTGGGCACAACAAGAAATGGGAATACAGAAGCTTCGATCGACATTTAGAAGCATATATCATTCTTCAAGGCTCATCAGGCACTCGACTCTTAACCTGTTGTGTGTAATCGGTGATCGAATCGACGTCCGTGCTCGCGTAAACGAACGACGAGAAATCGGATGACTCATCCGAAACCTCGACTGAATGGTTAACTTTGCTGTCGTGTTCGAAATGTTGCATAGAAACCATGTCGTCGTTGAACCCTCTTCGAATTCCGTCAAGATCAGCAGCAACTTCTTTCATAGTCGGCCTTTTCTTGCCATTCAAGTGCAAACATTTTCTAGCAAGTTCAGCAATAGCCGCAATGTCTTCTACATTACCCTCTGTGAGTACTCTCGAATCAAGAATGTCGAATAGTTTATTCTCCTCCATTGTATGCAAGAAATGCGTCGCTAAACTCTTTCCCGATTCAGCTCTAACTGAGGTCACGGCTTTCTCCCCCGTCAAAAGCTCAACTACAACCACGCCAAAACTGTATACGTCGCTCTTTTCCGTGAACTGGCTCGATTGGAAATACTCCGGATCCAGGTAACCGAATGTGCCCAAAATTCTTGTAGTGATGTGTGTTTGATCAATAGAGACCGACCTCGATGCCCCAAAATCCGAAACTTTCGCTCGGTACTTTTCATCCAGGAGTATATTCGTCGACTTGATATCGCGATGATAAATAGGCGCAGACGAAGCAGAGTGCAAGTATGCAAGCGCCCCCGCCACTTCGGACGCAATTCGCATACGCATTTCCCATGTTAATGGAAGATCGTCGCTCGGCTCATGGATATGGCTGAAGAGCGTGCCGTTTGGGATAAACTCGTAGACGAGAAGAGGTACTTCAGTCTCGAGACAACAGCCGAGCAGCCGGACCACATTCCGGTGGTTTATTTGCGACACAATAACAACCTCGTTGATGAACACTTCAAGATCACCTTCATCTACCTTTTTCGACTTCTTCACCGCCACGATCTTTCCATCTGTCAGCATTCCTTTGTAGACGGTTCCTTGGCCGCCACGGCCAAGTATACGATTTTTGTTGTAATGATCTGTAGCTTTTTGGAGCTCTTTTGAAGTGAACAGCTTGGTTTTCTCGAGTCCATTTTCAGTCGACGCCAAGTGCTGCTCCAATAACAACCCGCCGTTGCGCTTATAAAACATGTATCTACGCACGGCCTTTATCGCCTCGGTCACAAATTTTCCGGACCTCCACAAGCCGCAGAGCAAAATGAGCCCCCCGAACACGCTTCCTATAACGATGAATGCAATCTTGATTCGATTTCTTAACTTTCCCGGACTATGATTATCATTGTTGTTGTAGCAGTTGGGACAATTGTCGATGCATCCCTGAGGTAAATATGGATTCCCTTCGTACCCGTCATAACAATCGCAGTATCCAGACGTCGACTCATACGTGTATTCATCAACATCATCGTCGAAAAAAGATGAAAATGAACTTGAGTATCGACTATAATTACTGCAAAGCTTATTAATAATCGAATTTTTGTAGCCGATTCCAGGAGACATGCACAAAAGAAGAAGTGATCTGTCTTGTATATCGCGGCAATAACTTCCGGTCGAAAGTGTATCACTATTATAAGCTTCCCATTCTAATACTATAGGCGCGAATCCAAAATCTTTGTCGAAAGGATTCGACAGATCATTTGTGTGATTGTTAAAATCGATTTGGAGCCATTTCTTGGCGACAGGGAAGGCATAGCCACAGAAAGAACCATTACTTGGCTGAGTGCTTTTGTATGCAAACTGAAGCTCCTGAAGCCTCTCTGGAATGGTTATCCGGCAGCAGCCGACGCCATTACAAGCGGCGTCTGTCAAATTTCTCCGGCAAAAGGCCGTGCATCCGGCAAGGACAGGCGTGGAATTGGAGAGCAGCCAGACAGAGTTTTTGCAGCCTAGATTAACAAAGGAATTATACCTGGATGAGATGTAAAAAGGACTTCCGGAAAGTGATATCGGCAGCGTTTGCTGTGTCGAGTCGTCGGAAGAGCAATTCAGCGGCGACACACGCTGGTTTACGACGATTGTGCCTTTGAGGAAGATCTCCAGCACTTCTAGATTATCAATGCTGCTCAAGATTGGCTTTGGAGGATTGGTTGAGTTGTTGCAGATGATTGTGAATGATGAATTTGCACTGCATTTCGAACCAATTCCGAAAGGATAGGGAATGGTGACATCCCCACATTTTTCCGGGCAGCCATGCTTGGACAAAGAGATTGATTGAGCAACCATGGCTGGAGATAAACACAGAAAGTAAATGGCTACATGTATGAAGGGCAGCTTCATCTCCATGATTAATTTCTTTGAGTGCAGAATCAGTGGATTAAGCCATTGAAATGGTAGAGATTAAAGGGATCATAAGCTTTAACAATAAAGAGCGTTGAATCAAAAGTCTGAATAATTAATTAATTCATCAATGGTAGACTCAGTCATGAGTTTGAATGTTGAAGTTGGAATAATGATTATCTTTTGTTGTTTCCTATGTCACTTTCATCATTTTTTTCCACATTTTTAATAATATATTACAGTGTGCTCTATTTCAATATGCCAAATAAGATAATTGTCTTTTTGCTATAATATATATATATGTGACTTAGGGAGACTTCTAATTAAATTCCTTAATCAAAGTCTATCCCTTTTATTTTCAATAACTCCCCTGTTCCGTCATCATAATTCATTGTCAAACTATGAGTAATTAAAGGTACAAAATTAAATGTAATAATTGGTGGCTAAACCTAATTAATCAATTTTTAAGACCAGAAAAACAGCAGCAGCCATGTAAAAACAGAAAAAGAACAAAGCAGCTACCCAGTTCAACAGTGACGGAACCGGCCGTAACATTTCGGTGAGCAAAATATCGATTTTTTCTATCGATTCTATATTATCTTTTTCAATTTCTTTTGTCACAATAAAAAAAATAAAAAATAAAAAAAAAAGAGAGAGAGAAAGAAAAATTAAATGTTTATGAAAAAAAAATCAACAGATGGATATAATTTTTATTATTTTTAACACTATAAAATAAAAAAATTAAATTTTATTTTATACAATAGAGATTTTTTTCAACAGTGCGATTTTTAGATAAAATTTTGGCATTGGGGGAGGATTTTTTCTCTGTTTTTGTGTGATTTTTATTGGTTTTGTAAAATCAAGATGTATCTGACTTTTCGGACGACGACGGCTTCGGACGAGCAGCCGCGGCACTGCAGCGAACTCCGACGGACTGCACTGGAGACGGGCATCGACATCTTCTCCGAAGACTTTTCGAAGACTTCAACAGTGTTGATATGTTTTAAATATAATTTGTCACTTCGTTGAGTTTTCACGTAGATATCAGTGCCTGGTCGGCAAGTCCGGGGTCAAGAGGGGCAAAGTCTCCCTTACCTGGGTCCGGGGGCGCGGAGTGGCCTCCGACGGTACGCAGTATTGGGCCAACATACTTTATTTATTTAAATAGACTTATGGTTACGAAATAATCCGCCCTCCTCAATAATGTATGTTGTTTATTTTTGCTGGATGTAGTCAACATGGTATTGGTGAACCACGTAAATCTATATCTTTTTACGATTTTCTTTTTTTTTTTTATCCGATCATTAATCCTAATTCGTTCACAACAAACAGTCCACGAACAGCTCCGATCTACTTTCTTTTTGGCGATTCTTCTTTCTTTTTTCACCGGCGTTAGGAACTTCGACGGAAAGGCTCCAAGTTCAATGTGCCCGATGGGTTGAATCGAAAGGGCCAAAAAATGTAGGAAATGGGACAAAAATTAATGGCAAAAATTATTCGCTAGTTGAAAAGTTCATTAATCTCATCGTAACTATAGAAGAAAAGAATATAATTTCTCATACCTAGCATAAAAACACATTTATCTAATAAACACAATCATCCAAGAAACACAATAAACACACCTCTTTGCACAAATATTTTTGAAAATTTTAGTACTACTATTTATCTATAATACTTTTTAATTAATATTATATCAAATAAAATTATTTTTACTCCCTCCGTCCCAACTAATTTGTCCCCTTTAGCTTAGGTACGGAGTTTTAGGTATTGTATAATTAGTAGATAATTAAAAAGTGTATTAGTAAAAATAATTATAATTTAATAAAAATAATTTTATATTAAGATTAACATGACTAAATAGTTTAATTAAAATGAAAAAATTATAAATTATGAATTTTAAAATGCGATTAAAATGTATAATTGTATTTCCGAAAAAAGAAATGACAAATTATGGGATGAATGAAAATAAAAATAATAAACAAATTAAGTAGGACATGGAAGTATTAATTTTCAAATATTTTTAAAAACTTCAAAATTTTAAAAGTCTAAGAATTTGTTCATTTAAGATTTCAAATCTAAACCAATATTATTCATTTTATATGATTTTCAACAAAAATATGCTATTTTCTTTTACAAAATTCCATCAAAATATTACTTCATTAGTCTCAGCTTAAAGTACTTTTTTATTATTTGTGTATGTCCCACTCAAAAATATCAATTTCTATTATATCAAAGTAATCACACACTAACACCAAAATACTTTTCATTTTTACTTAAAATACTTTTCATTTTTACTTAAATTACAAATATATATAATTACATACAATTACTTTATACATAAGTTAAATGGCAAAAATATCCAAACATCTTACACACTTTCAATTTACTATAAAACTCCAAAGGCTCATTTGGATTGAGACAAAGAATATTTAAATCAAAAATTCATTTTAAATTAGTTTCAAATCACAGTCAAACAAACTTTAGTGTAAAGAGTCTTATATTTAAAAGTATATGTACGGAGTGTCGTTCGATTTTGATTTTAAATTAAATATTTGATTCAAATAAGACAAAATAGTAAAAGACCCATGTGATTTTCCGAATTCGCTAAAAATCCCCCTTAGTTTTAAAATTTCAAAAGACTTGTGTTTTACAAAATAGTGCACACTCTCCCCATCTCTAAATTTGACTAACGGACGTTAAATTTTATCATATTTGACCGTTATACCCTATTTATATATATTTTAATTTATTTTTCTCTCTTCTCTTCTTTCTTCTTCTATTCTCCCCAAAGACACCAAATTCTTCCATTTTCTTCATCCCCAAATTCTTCTTCACATGCAGGTTTTTTTTCCTAATTTTTTTCTTCTTCTTTTCCAATTCTTTTTCAGCCCTCGCAGCCTCACCCGTTCTTTCTTTTTTTCTTTTTCTCCAAATTTTTCTTCTTCTTCTTCGTCTACAATTGTTCTTTGAAGAATGAAGAATTGGAAAGTAATAAAAAGAGAAAGAAGACGACGGACAAAAACAGCCGGAGCAGATAAGAAGAAAGAAAGAAAAAAAGGAAGAAAAAAAGAAATAAGAAGAAGAACGGGCTGGACAGATTTTTTCTTTATTTTCTTCCAATTTTCTTTCTTCTTTATTTCTCTTTTTTTCCAATTTTTTTTTCTCCCAATTCTTCTTTTTTCTTTATTTTTCCAACTCAATTATTCTTTCTTCCTCAATTTTTCTTCTACAACCAGCAACACCGATTTTTTTCCCCTCTTCTTAGATTAATTTCAAATTTGGATGTCAAATTGATTTCTTATATATTTGGGTTTGATAAAATAGAAGAAGAAATCGATAGTGAACAATAAATTTGGGATGGATTTTAAATTTGGTTATGTTTAGTGAATTTAAAATAAAAAAAAATGCTGTAAAAAATAGTCATTATGGTATTTTAGTAATTTTAAGAGTATGGAGAAGAACAAGGAAAAAGAAAAATAAGATGTAAAAAATAGTCATTAGAGTATTTTAGTAATTTTATATAAGAATATATCAGTTTATTGATAAAAAATCGTATACTAGGCGCGTGATACACAACCACCGTTAAATCCTAAACGGATGGGATTGTTTTCGCAACATTTTGGAAACCACTTGGAGGTTTTTTGGGTTTTAGAATCACGGGGTGTTTTTTGCTATTTTTCGTTCAAATAATATTTTAATATAAAGCTCACTCTGTCCCATTTCAACGGTCTCTATTTCATTTTTTTGTATGTTTCACTTCAATTGACACGTTTTTATTTTTGGTAAAGTTTTTTAAATCTATATATATTTAACAAATATAAATCAATTTAATTAACTTTATAATAATATATAACATCATATTAGGTAGGAACTACTCAAAATCCATTTTGAGTTTGTTTGGGGATTGGATTTTAAATACACTATTATCTCATTTTTTCTCCCAAAAAATATCAAATCAAACACGTATTTTTTATTGTTTATATTATACTAAAAATCAATTTTACATTCAAAACATTACATCAGCACCTATTTATATCACATCATACAACTATTCAAATTCAAAATTTTTCCTATTCAAATCTCAACTCAAAATCCAAACCCCCAAACAAACACCTCTACCTCAATAAACAAATATTTTTTTATCTACGTTTAAAACTTCACTATTTTTATAAAATTAATTTATCTTAATTATAAATAAATAAATATAATATATTATTTAAAATTTTATTCTTTATAAAATCATATTCATATATAATATTTTATTAAAATATAATATTTAATATATTTAAACATTTGTTTCAAATTTAATTTAATTATAATTTTTATTTTAAAATTATTAACAATAATAGTATAAAAATATAATAAAATAATATTATAATACATTATTATCAACTAATTAAACTATTTTATCTTAAATAATTATGTCATTCAAATAAAATGAATTCTTTCAAATAAGACTGAGAGAATATATTATTAAAATTAATACTTCTTCCGTCCCATTTTTTATGTCTACTTTTTCATTTTATCCCACTTATTTTGTCACTTTTTTTTTTGAAAAATAATTATACACTTTAATTTTATTTTAAAAAATTTAATTTATAATTTTTTAAATTTTAATTATACTAATAAATTATTTTAATCTTAATCTATAATTATTTTTATTATATGATAATTATTTTCATTAATATATTTTTAATTATTTACTAATTATATCCCTCGTAAATTTTCATGTTTACAATAACACGGACAAAATATCCAAAACAAGAGAAAATATTAAAATATATTTGAAATGAAAAAAAAAAACAAACAAACAAACACTTGCAAACTACCCGAATGACCTGCAAAATCAAAATGCAATGCACCGTTAGAATGTAGATTAACTGAGGACGCGCTTTGCAATTAATCATTTATTAATTGCCTTGTGATGCGCGTTGAATTCAACTCTCCAAGTAACACGCTTTTTCAAAAAAAAAAAGTAATAAACACGCTTTTGTCTCTCGGAGTATAAAGCACCTGTTAACCAATCATTCTCTCCGACTCCAACCCGATATATATATATAGAGAGAGAGAGAGAGAGAGAGAGAGAGTCAATAGCAGCGCTTCCACCTCCCTCCCACTTCTCAACCCAAACCCACCGCCATCTCCCAAATCTCCGCCTCAGATCTGTTTCCTAGGTATGGATTCCGGCCTCGGTTCATTGTCAATTCATGTGATTTCGATGGGTTTTATGAGTTTTTCCATTCTCCTGTCTGTCCTCTTTTTGGATCTGAGGCTGATGCGCCTTGGTTCATATATTAGGGTTTCTCTCCAAGCAAATCCGTATCATTGATTTTGTTGAAAATTGATTTCAGATTCCGTTTACTTTCGGACTTGGATTTGCCTAAATATATTTACGAATGATTAACGATTACTTACGCTTTACCTCCACGGAAAATATTTCGGACTTGGATTTGCCTAAATGTTTGCTATTGACACGATTTGGAGTTTTTATTTGTTCCCCTTTTGTTCATGGGTTGTATGAAACGTTAGTATTGTGCTTGTTGCTAACTGATCTTGATCTAATTAAACTTTTGGTTGTTTGTTTTTGTTTGAAATAGTGGTGTTTGGAGTGGTAATTGGCTGTTCTTTTTCCCGAGCTGTTGTGGATATCCTTTCTTGTCATAAGGTAAGAAAACAGATTTAGATTTTCGTTGCATTTTGTGTATTTGAGATTATTATGGATTGTTGATAGAGTTTCTTATTTTTGTTAATTGGCAACTATGGTAAACTACGTCATCTTTGATTTCCCCTGTTCTGAATTCATTCACTGTTTTCTCAATTATATCTGGATATGTTGAAAATTGAAATTTGAAACTGTGTGATGGACATAAGTTTTTTATTCAGCACTTTGTGATATTCATCTATCTGCAAGGATAGCATATTATAGAATGGTCGAATAAATTGAGTTAGAAAGTAATCATAATAGTATTGTGAAGTGAATGGAATTGCTGATGATACATTGTATTTTGTTTGTTTATTGAGACCTTGTAAATTTGTAAGATTAATTCCTTTTCGATGTAGAATTGTTTTTGTATTTCTGTCATTGTTCGAGGTTGTTGGTCATCAAGTGCTTTTGTTGTTAAAGTGTTTTTATCATTGTAAACCTATTTGCACTAGTTTTTTTGGATAGATAGTTATGAAAGTAATTTATGAGGGACTGGTTAGGGTGCTTATTATAGCTAATCAGCGCCATGCCGATTAACCCTAGCCAGCACGTACCAAATAGATAGACACCAAATCACTTCAATTATGTGTTGTTATTTCACGCTTTATGGGTGGACTGTTTCTATATATTTTATGGGTGAGTTCAATGATGTTGTGCGGACTATTGCCATGCGTCGTCAGTTAATGTGCTGCTTTTATATTGTATTAACTCAAATTTTATGCTGTTGATTTATGTTTTGTTTGTTATTATTTAAAGTGTTGTCAGCGCTATACTGAATAATTTTATTCAGCACCCAAATTGCCTCTCATTTATAAAGTATCTTTCGTTTATGTTGATTTTATGATGCTTTTTAATTGTTTCGTGGAGCAAAAACTAACACTGTTCTTTCTCTCTTTGAGATGTACTTCTGGTCATCATCATACCAAATGCAGGTTGAGTTGTGTTTATGGATGCCAAGAAATTTATGCAGTTGGTCGAGGAAAAGAAAAAGAGAGTTTTGGCCAAGCAAGAAGCACCCCTAAAATGGGAACAAAAGCTCGAAGCTGCCGCAAAGGCCAAAGCCGATGCCGAAGCCAAGGCTAACAAGGCAAAGGCTGCCAAGCACAAGAGGAGATCAGTGTCTGTATCGGACACTGGCACAGAGAGCGAAAATTCCGATGATGGAAGAAAGAGGAGTAAGAAGTCTCACAAGAGGCAAAGAAAACACAATCATTCCGACTTGACTGATCACGAAAAGAAAGATAAGAAATCGAGCCGGAAGGCAAATAGACTACCCTCAGATTCTGACTACAGCAGTGATGGATATGACAGTGATTCGGAGGAGAGGAGGAAGAAACATAGTCGCAAGAAACACAGGCATGGCTCGATCTCCGATTCAAGTTCTTCCGACGACTCCAGAAGGCTTCGTACAAAACACCACAAACACAAGCAAAAGCCAAAAAGATCTTCTGATTCTGATGACAACCGCGATGGTTATTACAGTGATTTGGAAGAAAAGAAGAAGAATCACAGCCGCCGTAAGAAACATAGACATGGTTCTTTCTCGGATTCCAGTGCTTCAGACTCTTCGAGCGATGAAAATGACAACGGGTTCAGGAGGAATCATTCTAAGCATCACAGACACCTTCGCCGTTGTAGCCATTCGGAGTCTTCTAACGATGATGACGACAATGGTGTCAAGAAAAGGAGCAAGTCGAGACGGCATAAGCATCACAAGCATTCGAATCTAAGCTCTGCAGATTCTTCAAGTGATGAAGGATACAAAAAAAGTCATCATCACTCGAAACCCCACAAGAAGCATCATCGATCGAAACACAAGCGTAACAGCCGTGACACTCCAGATTCTGATGGATCAAAGCACAGGCAGAGGACAGGCAGATGTAAGGTGAGCTCAAGTGATGTTAATGGTGGAAATCAGGCGCCGGAGGTGGTAAATCGCAATGATGAACGCCGGGAAAATGGTTCCAAGGAGACGGATATGAATGGTTGTGAGGATTGACTGGATCAAAGTACTTGAAGATTTTATATGACCTCCTCGATGACCGGTATGTTTACTCGACATTGCAAGCTCTAATGTTTTTTGTTTTAGCTGCGGATCGAAACTATGTGGTAGTGTGTGTGTCTGACTTAATTTAAATTCGAAGCTCGTTGCCATTTGTGACTTGATATGTGTGTGATCATCGATGATCTTGTTCTGTTGGACTGATGACTGACTGATGATTTTATTATTCTGATTTAGCTCTACTTATTTGTAAGATTTTAGTTTTTGGTTTTGGTTTTGATTTTAAATAGTAAAATTTTGAATTGAAATAATTGTTTCATGTGATATAAATATGTAATAACTTAATGTTTTGAATGTAAAAATTTATTCTAGTGTAATACAAAAAAAAAATAAGTGTTTTATTTGATATTTTAGAGGAAAAAAAGAATTTGAATAGTAAAATCGAAAATGTACGACCATTTAAATATAATTATTTATGTATTAATGTATAATTATTTTTTTTAATTAAAAATGAATATTTTTAATTGAGACATACGAAAATGGTAAAAAATATTTTAATTAGGATGGAGGGAGTATAAAAATAGTCATTAAAGATCAACACCCTATTCTCCATGACTACATTTATTTACCATTCAACAACATAATTTTATTGTAAATTTAGAATATGGTTAAGTGTTTTTTTTTTTTTTTTTTGGTTTGAATTCAGTATGAAAATAATGTATGATAAGATGTCTTTTGAGAAAAGTTATATATATATTTTTTAAAAAAAAAAAAAGAAAAAACAAAATTTGGTGCAAAAAAACACACTTGACAAAAACAGAACACAAGTAAACATACTATTCACATTCTTACAATCATAATGTTTGTAGCTGAGGCTGAGGCTGAAAACAAATGCAGAATATGGAAGGGGTAGAAAACATTTTAGTGAAAATGTTGAAGCAAATACAGCAACTTATACCAAATAAGAGAATTACTTTAAAATAAATACAACATGAAGTGTTCCCTTGTAGGATAGGATATCCCCAATCAAATATATATATATATATATTTTCTACACTAATAATACATCTTTACCCACAACAATGCGCGCCGCGCGCCCATGGAATCTTTGCAAGCATGCGTCTCTATCTGCGTGATAAAATCGATCTTATTCTATAATTTAGCATGATCCTTGTGGACCAGAAGGAGCAAAATGAATGTAGACTGCTAGCATAAAAGTTATGTGTAACATGTTTAAACTTGTGACCGCGACTGTCAGAAGTTCTTCAAAATTTTCTCCCTCGACACTCCATTGGATACAAGAAGAGAAGTTACCTCCTGCAAGAAGACAATAACGAAAACCAAATTGTTATCCTGCAATAAACTCAGTATTAACCAGTCGCAAAACCAAAAATTAAACTATTTTATTTTTAACCATCAACTTTATGCACCTATAGTTTCAATTTAAAATTTTAACTATTTTCAAGCACCTACAAAAATATATGGAGATTTTTTCCTCTCACATCACATCAAACATTAATAGAAAAACTCGAATCCTCAATTGCCCCTAAACATGGTACAGAAGTCATTCACATATGAAATACTCATAAGTTCCTCGACACCAAACAGCTACAAAAGCCTCCATCAAAAGGATAGTGCTTGGAGTAGTCATAGATCGGACGTTTTGGAAAATAGAACAGCAAAATCTCGTTCTTTATGTCTAGACATACATACATAAAATGTTATAAACTACTGACTGTGGTATACGGGGGAAATTTTGACCATGCTCGGATTAAAAAAAGGAGTTATCATCACCATGTTAAATTCCTTTATAATTGAATTGATTCGTCGCCTATAGCAAAACCAAAAGTGAATCCTAATTGTTCCAACTGAAGACCAAATTCTATAACAAATCACATAAATCCCCAGTTATTCCCTTGTTATTTTTTCTGTGGCACCGCGAGAAAATAGACGTAAAACTCAATTAACCAATATACACAGATAGAATCCTAGAAGTTAGCAAAAGATAACTAACAAGAATTTGAACTATATTATGTTGTGTACGAAACTACACAAACCTCAGCCATTTGTCGTTGGCCACAGAGAATGGCACCAGTAGATTGAGGGTTAAAGACTCTCTTCGCTCTAGCAAAAGCAGCCTGAAAAAGAAAGTGTGAATAAATATGAAAAGGGAAAATATAAAGTTCCTTTAAAGCCTATTGTGTTAGTCAACAACCTGCACATAGCCTCGCTCGCCTGTCCAAGTGTAGTCTGGCTTAGACAGCACCGGCACGATATCTACCCCGGAAGATTTCCAGTGTTTAAATCTGTCCTGCAGAAATTTTGAGAGGAAAGAATGCATAAATTTAATGAAGATAACAGCAAACATAAAACAATGTTATCCCCATATATGAGTGTGCCATAGAAGCCATGATATTTACCTGATAGGCCATTCTAAGAAGGTTTCGAGCACCATAATAAAGCCTGACATCTGATCTCTTATCAGCACCAAAGCCTGCCTCAATTAAAGACCTAATTGGGCTATGCATCATCAAGAGACAATAGGTAACAGTACTCCGAAGAAATTCTCATGCATATAAATAACACAAAGGTTGGATAATTGGAAACTATCGTTATGCGACAAATATATAAAATTAAGCAAAATTAATTTTCATGTACAGAGGACATAGAGTATGACATTTACTTATTAAAGTTCAATATGATGCTATTTCGAGAAGGAAAAAGATAAAACAAGGTGATACAAAAGTGAGAAAGCATGCAATCCACAGATAAACACTGAATTTGGAAACAATAGATATAACCTTGTCAAAGTGAGTTTAAGAATGTTAAACACGTATCCGAAGTTTGGTAAAAGCCTATTTGTGTTGTTGATATAGATTTGGGCTTTGTACATTTATCTAGCTATCCATCTAGGATTTGCCTCTTTTTGGTAGAGGATTAGTGTTATCCCAATATAGGATATACTCCTCTATAAAAAGGGTTGTGTTAATGAAAATTCACGACCAGCCATATAAGTTGAATGCATGAGTCATTAAGTCTTCCATCATGTGTCCAGGCTTCTTGCAAGTGTTTAGTTGATAATCAAAACCATCACTATTCCGCATGCATGATTCCTAATAAAAATATACTATTTTTTCTCACAAATCATCACGTTAAAATACTATTTAAACTAAAACTGAAATAAAAAACTCAAACTCAAATCAAAATCAAACAAACCCCTTCTTTCTCCGCCTTGTTTAAGATTAACCTTCAGGCATGCATATGGAGTAAAGAGCTTTTTTAACCAGACAATAGTTGTGGTGGATTTCTCCCTTTATCAACTATTGCAACCAAATTGCTTGTCACTTCATGACAAACTTCATAGAAAACTTCAAATAACATTTTAAAAAAATAATAATAATAATAAAAATAATTTCTTGAAATTCGATGTGTCAAATCCAAATTGCTTTAGACCATTTAGAGACTACATCTAGATCCATCCAAAACACAAACCAAATTTTCCCACTTAACTTCTCAATTTCAACTTTGTCAAAAGACATCTTAGTAATTGAACTATTGATCCAAAATACTCCCAGCGTCCGCCAAATTTATTCTCACTTTCCTTTTTATTCCGTCCACTAAATTTGTCAACATTTAATTATTACTCATTCAACACTTATTTACAACAAATACAATTAACTTTATTACATTCTCTCTTACTTTACTGTTTAACTAAATTTTCAAAAATACCCCCAACTACCTATCACTTTTTCAATAAAATATTTTTTTTTTTTAATTCTTGTGTCAAGCCCAAAATGAGCTAATTTGAATAGACTGAAGGAGTATCTAACTCTAATACCACTTGTCGGGATTTGATTATTGAAAATAAAAATTCCCAAAACCACAAAGTAGCAATGTAGAATAAAATTTGGAAGAAACAAACAAGAGAAATAAACTTGAAAGGGTTAATTTAATTGTTAGGAGATAAAATCAACTCGTCTAAAAAATTATAGCTAGCCTTAATTGTTCATCTGTTCAATCATCTTCATACAGGAAGTCGAAGACTATAAGCACCCTAAATCAACTCAATCATACTCCTACCAATCTACAGGCATAAATCATAACAAAGAGTTTATCAGATTTCGATAACATTAACTAATAAAAAAGGTGATCATATTTACAAAATTAGAACCACCAATTCATTTACAAGAAGCAAGAAGAGTGGAGGTAACATACAATCACAAAATGAACCAACAAAAAGGTCTCTGACATCGAATTTAAAGCTTGAATGTTCAAGTAAATCATAATTACACAGAATTCCAGTAAAAGAATTCATCTTCAGAAATGAGTTCTACACTAAACTAAAATGGTAGCAATTTAGGGCATTCATATTATACCTGATTCCAGATCCTGTGGCGAAAATAAGCACGGTCTGGTATTTATCAGGCGGCGAAATTCGATCAATCTCGAAACCCTTGCCCATGACCGAACTCAATTCCACAACATCGCCTTTCTGTAGCACACACAAACGCTCCGCAGTGGATCCTGGAACCGATTTCACCAAAAATTCAAAAATACCTCTCGACACCGCGGCTGCCGGCGGCGAAGCGATGGCGAAAAACGAAGGTCTGGAGTTAGGATCACGAACACGGAGCTGTAAATACTGGCCGGCTTGGGTATAAGAGCCTGCAAGCTCGGGGGACGCCGAGACGTCGACGGTGATATGAAACAACGATTCAGCGGCGGAGGAGACCTTAACAAGAGGAGCACTGGTCCAGAAGGTGGTGTCTGGACGGGCGGCGGCGGCGGCGGCGAAAGCGAGGGTGCGGCGAGAGAGGTAACGGAGGGTATTGAAATTGGAGAGGGTCATTGGTTAGGGGAGGAGAAATTAGGAAGGGATACCAACATGGAATCCGACGGCGGAAGCGGAGATTCGTGGATTGAGGCCGCTGGCATTTCTTGGTGGATTGTGATGAAGAAGTTTGAATGTGTCGCCGGTGACTTAGAGGGTGGATTTGGAAGGCGGCGCCACCGGACGAATGAATGGGAATGGGCTGCGTTACGATGCGCGCAGGTGCACCTTAATTGCGATGCACACTCCCACGCGTCACATTTTGGTTGGTTGAATTATTTGTCATCCGAAATTCGAATCAAACTAAAATTGATTGAATATTCTATAAATTGTGAATATTAAAAATTCGAATTAATTCGAAATTGAGATATAATATTTCATGTATCGTGTAAATAAAAATTTATGATAAATATAATTAATAAATAATTAAAAATATATTGATAAAAATCATTATTATTTAATAAAATAATTTAATATTAAGATGAAATAACTAATTAGTATCATTAAAATTTAAAAAATTAAATTAAAATTTTTAAATTAAAATTTTTAAAATATCATTAAGGTGAACGCTGTAACTGGGACAAAGAGAATATTTCAACTAAAGTTATGTGTTGAATTTAACATTTGAATTTAATCTTAATCATTTATTTTGATATTGTTTAATTTAATTAAAATGATTAAATATTAATTAAGGGATATGATTAATTCAGCATATTGTTGAATTAATTTGTCCCTCGCCACATGATCCATTTCCAATGTATTTTATTATTATTATATATATTTAATATTTTAATAAAAACATAATATTACATTAAAAATAAGAACTAAAAGTTATTAATTATATTTATTTATATTTAATATATATTTTATACTTATACTCCCTGTCCTACATACGAAAATTTAGGTAAAGTATAATTAGTAAGTAATTAAAAAATATATTAGTAAAAATAATTATTATATAATAAAATTAATTATAGATTAAGATTAAAATAACTAAATAATTTAATTAAGATTAAAATAACTAAATAATTTAATTAAGATTAAAATAACTAAATAGTTTATACCAAAGAAATCATAAACTAATTGTTCTAAATATGAATATCTAGTGGTGTTAATTGTGGGAATTTGGCACTATGTTTAGATATGATGTTTATAGTTTTGAAGATTTTAAAACATAATAAGAAAATTAATATATATTTTTAATAATGAGAAAATTAGGTTAACAATCATATTAGGCTAACCGTGTGTGACATGCAAAACTTAGGGGCGTCGGGGCTTCGAATCCATGACAGTATGGCGAAAATACATATCAAAAGTTACGGTTTTAATATATCGAAATTTTCGATATGGTACCGGTATATACTATTTATACCGAAAATTTTAATTTCAGTACGATACCCGTATATACCGCTTATAACGAAAATTTTGATTTCGGTATGATACCGATTATACCGAAAATATAATTTTAAATTTCAAAATAATTAAAAATAATAATAATAAATATCAAAATTCTCCACCACAAAAATATTATTAAAAAATCAATGAATTTTCAACCGTCTACATATTTTTTTGTTATGATTTTAAAAAATTAATAATTGCTCCCTCCGTTAACATTACAAATAACCTTTCAATTACAATATATTACACAAATATCATTATTTTATATCATACAATACCAACAAAAAAGTATTTTAGTCATTTTCCCTTTATTCCTACTACATTCCAATATTTCTAAAACTTTGTACAAAAGGTATATGGATAGATATCGGACGAAGGGAGTATTATTCATATTAAAATTATTTAATAAAAATAATATCTGTACGGTATCATATCGAAATACCGAACTTTCCGAATATTCATACCGATACCGTACCGAAATTTTCGATATATTGAAATTTTTAGTATTTTTGACACGATACGATACGATAAGTCAGTAAATTTCTGTATCCCTAATCAAGTTATAAGAAGGCGGATTTGGTTAGAGGTAATTTGAGAGGGAATAATCAATCAAACAAAATTTGGTAATTTCGAAATTTTTCCCAAGAAATGTCGTAAATCCATCCGAATCTTCTAGTGGATTTCACCGTAGCTTTTCGATGCAGGGCCATGGCCATGGCCATGGAATCGAGTCTATGGCGTAGATCTTCCTCAATTTCGGCTATGTCCAAAAAGAAGAGCTGAGATTTCCGACGAAAACGTTGAGGGCTTTCTGGTATTTTTCTCCTGAGTATTCATTCTTCCATCGAGCGAAAAATTGGAGGTAAAATGTAGAGAGAAAGAGAAACAATATAACAAAGAGGGGCATAACAGTCCATTTTTGATAAAATTTAATGTTTGTGAAATTTTGAAAAAAAAAATCACAATTAGGTAAATAAATTTTAGAATCATAGGAATTTTTTAACAAATTATAAAAATCACAAAAGAATTCTATATTATTTTAACTAATGATATATACTTCTCCTCCGTCTCAATACAATAATCTTGTTTACCATTTTTGTCCGTCTTAAAACAATAGTCTCATTTTCGTAGATAATCATATCACTGTAAAAACTACTTTTACTTTTTCATTATTATTTAACAATTGTCATTATTTTTTATACTAATACAGCAAAAAAAATTTTTATCAGTACTTTTTACCCGCTGCTAATATAATATCAATATTCTTTAAATTCCGTGTCAAACCCTACTCAGACTATAATTTTGGGACGAAGGAAGTACTATGCATAATTCTTACTGAAATCATTCATTAGTTGTATAGTGTTGAGTAGTTCGATAAATATAAGTATTTATAGAACTTGTGAGAACAAGTAATAATTAAAATTAAAATTATTGTCATTAATTGATGTCAAAATTAATATATAATCAAACCCCTGAATACTTGTGAAAACAATTTTAAATGAATCAGTTTTGCTTATTCAATGGAATTCAGGGTCCAAGGATAAATCCTACTTGAATCTGGACCCAAATTGAATTCGATCACTATATTAATTATATATCAACAATATAAAAATAATAGTAATAATTTCTACCAATACAATTATATTAAAATTACTTTTAAAATTGTATTTATTTATTTATTATAATATCTTTACATAAAATATATTAATTTTAATATATGTTAGTGTTAGGTCCGAACCTACATTCAAATACAGCTTTGAGTTAAATTTCTAAAAATTATACAAAAATATTTCAAGTATATCATATCTATTATTGGGATATAACTCGAGTTGGTACAGATATAGTCAGCTCCGGATATAATTGAATTTGATACCGTTATCTGGCCTAAAATCGTATATTTGAGTCGGGTTTTGAATCCAACTAAACCCGACCCATTGCAATGCCAATGCCTATCAACAAACTACTCAGCCAACAGACCCGACCCATTGCAATGCCAATGCCTATCAACAAACTACTCAGCCAACAGACGTATATCTTGTCGAACTTAATTTGTAAATTATTAAATTCGATAAAAAATTTATTCAGAACCGCGCTCCAAGAGTTGAGTAGCACCTTTCGTCTTAAAAAAAGAAGTGCTTAAACAACAAACCAGCCATCCAAGATGAAATCAAAGTCTTCGTACTTAAAAATTGATGCGTTAAAAATAATGAAAAAGAAAAAAAAAAAAATGCAAAACCGTGTTCTAATCAAGGAAAATGCTTCCAATAGTCAGAAACGTATGCAAGCAAGCAGCAGCAGCAAAATTATACAAGTCCGCCGCCGTCGGAACCACCCATTATTCGGGCCACACAATGTTAAGGGGGGAGGGGGGGGTAGCAATGGCGGGGCACGGCGGGGTGGGGATTCGAGGCACCATGTCTATGATTACATCACTTCCCGCAGTTAAATTACACAAAAACAGCAAGAGATTTCGACCGGTAAAAATGAACTCGAGGTGCTCGCTAAGTCATTGCCTTGAGCTAAATTATTTTCGTAATTATCAGTAAAGTGAAACGACGAAGAAGAAGAAGAAAGCTTTTCGAAAACCTGTCCTCACATAAATGGTATCTAAGCGGCAGATTCCTTTGCTATCTTCTCAGCCTTGGCGATGACCTCTTCGATTCCTCCCACCATGTAAAAAGATTGTTCTGGAAGATCATCATACTTTCCATCGAGGACACCCTGTTGCACAATGAACAGTCGATAATATAAGGCTAAGATGCATTTTTGAATCATCATTTACTTAATCCGTAAGCATTGTTGATTCAGACGAAACTAGAAAAGCGTTGAATCTCGAATATTAAGACACAATTCATCACAGATATAATAAGTTTGTTCACTTAGTATTTTTAATGTATACGACTTCCCCAAAAATTATTATACAAAAACCACAATATATATGATATAATATACAACATATGCATATAACGAGAAATGTCAACAAAACACACAGTCAACAAAATCATACTCCCCTCCCTCCGTCCCGATAATATATCCATACAAAAATTTAGGTAAAGTATAATTAGTAAGTGATTAAAAAAATTGATTAGTAAAAATAATTATAGATTAAAATAACTAAATAATTCAATTAAGATTAAAAAAATATATAAATTATAGAATTAAAAATGTGTGTATAATTATATTTTCAAAAAAAAAAAAATGACAAATTAGGTGGAACGGTCAAAAATATAATATGTTGACATTTTACGTGGGACAAAGGAAGTACAAAAAATCATTTCCTATAATATCACCATTTCACATACCACACAATAAAAATACCTAAAACTATAAACACTAAACAAACACACTCTACAAAGCAATTTATCTCTATATATATTTTCAATTGAAAGCATCACGATCAAAATCTATCTTCCATTAGAAAGGGTTTCGAATCTAAGTCAGACTATCGTGTAACTACCGAATCAGTGTGCCGTAAATGATTTGTACTAGCCTTGCATATGTAATTGCTACAGAAATGCTGTGTGATCCTCTTATGTTTCTTGTTTATAGTTTACTTATTCTTAATCGAGTTTGAATAAGTGCTCGTTGCTATCTATGTAAAACAGATGCGATATATTACGACAGATCTCGACTAGGAATAATTGTTACCTGGAAGCTGTTAATGCTCTCCTTCAGCTCAACATACTTGCCCGGGGCACCCGTGAAAACTTCTGCGACATGGAACGGCTGGCTCAAAAATCGTTGAATCTTTCGAGCACGAGCGACAGTTAGTTTGTCATCTTCACTGAGCTCATCCATTCCGAGAATGGCAATAATATCTTGAAGATTCTTGTAATTCTGAAGAACCTTCTGCACACCACGGGCCGTATTGTAGTGCTCCTCTCCCAATATGTGAGGAGAAAGCATACGAGATGTCGAGTCAAGAGGATCAACAGCAGGATAGATACCAAGCTCGGAAATCTGTAACGATCAACAATGCCAACAATAAAATAAAAGGCATAACTAGGTCTAGCAGTAATATTTAGGCAAAATTGCTTATAACTCATCTATAGTTTTAGAAAGTCATACCATTTTCACTCGTAATTTAAAAGCTGCATAATGACTTTCTCTCGTATTTTAGAAAATATTGTGCAGAATATTTTTGAAAACATTAAACACAATGGACTTTTGTGCAATATTCTCTAAAACACCAGGGAGTTCACGCAATTTCTAAGAAATTATATGCAATATTGTTTCTAAAACACAAGCGAGTATGTGAAGTTTCTAAATCATGAAGGTTGAGTTCTTTTGTGGATTTTACTACAAATTATTCTAATTTTTACTATTCAGATTATTTTTTCCTCTAAAAATATCAAATCAAACAATTATTTTTCTTTTTTTATATTATATTACAAATCTATTTCACATACAAAACATCACATCTAACATCTATTTATATCACATCACTCAACTATTCAAATTAATTTTTTACTATTCAAAAATCCAAACCTACAAACAAACACACCCGAAGGATTATTATTTAGACATTTTAAACTATATGTGAGTTATAAGCAATTTTGTCTAATATATATATCAAATATTTAGCGAAAATTAGCATTACCTGTCTCGATAACACGGTTGTGGCGTCCAAGTGAGCAAAGGTTGTGGCAGGGGCAGGATCCGTCAAGTCGTCGGCTGGCACATAAATAGCTTGGACAGACGTAATGGAACCTTTCCTCGTCGTGGTAATACGCTCTTGAAGACCTCCAAGATCAGTGGCCAAAGTTGGCTGGTAACCGACGGCAGAAGGGATACGCCCAAGCAAGGCCGACACTTCTGAGTTTGCCTGCCAAAGTTCGAAATAAATAAACACAATTAGAACAAATTAAACACTTAAAAAAGAAATAGGCGACCCTCAACAATGAAATTAAAGTGAAACTATACTTGAGTAAAGCGGAAAATGTTGTCAATGAACAGAAGCACGTCCTGCCCTTCTGCATCACGGAAATGTTCAGCAACGGTCAGTCCAGTAAGTCCAACACGGGCACGAGCACCCGGGGGCTCATTCATTTGACCATAGACAAGCGCGCATTTGCTCTCGGCCTGATAACAGGGGAAATTAATTATGAAGCAACAGCAATTAGAAGAAAAATAATCACTAAACGTAAAGTGTCGCTGACCTGCTTATCGCCTAGCTTGATGACACCACTTTCGATCATTTCTCTGTACAAGTCATTGCCCTCCCGAGTACGCTCTCCGACACCAGCAAAGACAGAGAAACCACCTGATTTAAGGAAAATAAACGATGGTAAGATTGAATTACAATAACCATTAATTGTGTTAAAGTTTCTCACAGCAGCCCAAAATTTACTAACCATGAGCTTTTGCAACGTTGTTAATCAGTTCCATGATAAGCACAGTCTTTCCGACACCAGCACCACCAAACAGACCAATTTTTCCTCCTCTTTGGTATGGCGCAAGAAGATCGACAACCTGCACTTGAGCAAAGAACAATTGAGCAAAAAACAATAACAATGGTTTTATATAGACAGGAGTTCTGGAAGTTATAGAAAAATTTGGAAATAATAAAAAGTTGGGTATTTAATACAATGATTTGTGAGAACAAAAAAATATTTGATGTGATTTAGAAAAAAAAAAAAAAAAAAAAAAGTGCCAAAAATTCCAAAAATGTGTCTGTTTAGGGGTTTAGATTTTGAATTTTGGTTTTGAATTAGTAAAAACAATAGTTGTTTGATGTAATAAAATAGGTGATATGTTATGCTTTGAATGTAAAATTGATTTTTAGTACTCTCTCCGTCCCAACTAAAAGTACATTTTTACCATTTTTGTTTGTCACACTAAAAAATATTTATTTTCTATTAGAGTAAAAGTAATCACACTAATACTAAAATACCTTAAATATTTACATATATTATAAATATACTATTACACGTATACATATAGTACAAAGGGCAAAAATGTCAAAACCATTTACATACTTCCACCAACCAACAAAATCTATTATTTCTTAATCTATTGGAAAAATCCAAATGTATACTTTCGACCTGGACGGAGGGAGTATTATTTAGAAAATGAAAAATAACAATTAGATTTGATATTTTTTAGGGAAAAAAGTTGTGAATAGTTAAAATCCTTCAAATAAACACATAAACAGAGCCAATAGCATCTTCGAAAATTTTCAGTGCAGAAAAATAGCAAGAATCTGTACTGGATTTATCGAACAAAACTAGTGATGAGAAATCACCTTGATACCGGTAACAAGAATTTGTTGCTCTGTAGCTTGCTCAACAAAGGCTGGAGCTTCGCGGTGAATGGGTAAAAAGTGCTCAGTCTCTGCATCAATATCCATTCGTTAATAAAGCCGCACACTTCTCTATTCACAAAAAGGATTCTACAACAGAAAAGGCCGTAGAAACTTACTGATGTCGCCTTTCTCATCAATGGGTTCGCCTATGACATTAATGATGCGACCTAGAGTGGCTCTACCAACAGGCACCTACGATTATAATAGTATATGAAATTTCTGAAAGCGCAAACACCATGAATAACTTAAATACCGTAATGCACGACAAGAACAAAGTAAAAAAAGACATTTAAAAAAAAAAAAACGAAAGTATATTGTCAATGCAAAGTATAAATTCCATGGAATACAATATCGAACAACAAAGCAACGAACAATTACATCACAATAACATACAAATGATCACATGGGCAAGAATTTCGAAAATGCCCAAAACAATCACAACATAAATACTCCATCACTCAACCAAAAAAATAAAATAAAATTGTAACATGGAATGCAAAATGACTCCTACATTTCGATGGAATTAGACTGTCAAACACAAATTCAACACTATATGCACTATTTTCTATCTCAAATCATCGTATCAAAATAAAAATTTAGAAAATGACTAGAAATCCAAATTAAAAGTCAATTTCAAAAAAAGACCAAACAAAATCCAAATCAGAAGTTAGAAAATGACTAAAAATTATCACTTGCTAGACAAAGTGAAAAAAACAAAGTCTTTGTTACCAAATCAAAACATTCGAGAAACACCTAATCCACCTCAAAATTCAGATCCAATGTACGAATTTCAGGATCACTATCACGGAATTTAATCAAATCTCAGATAGAACTGAAAATCAGCAACGAATTTCCAATTCAAAACGATCAATTAAACAATGGCTCAGGCTAACCGTAATAGGCGAACCAGTGTTGAGCACGCGCTGACCACGAACCAAACCTTCAGTCCCATCCATGGCGATGCACCTCACCACACTCTCCCCCAAGTGCTGAGCCACCTCCAAAACAAGCCTGATCTGATTGTCCAGAACCTCCAAGGCAGTCAAAATCGGAGGCAAACCCTCATCGAATCTCACATCGACGACGGCACCAATCACCTGGCACACCTTCCCGATCGCACCCTTGCCGGTAAATTCATCAGTAATTTTCCCCCCAGGGCCGCCGCTGGGAGCCGCCTTCGACGGCGGAGGAGTCGCCGCCGCCGCCGCAGAGGTAGCGTATTGGGAAGCAAATCGGTGGAGGAAGTGTCCGGCGGGGGAAGGCCGAGCGCCGGGCCTGGGGGCGGAGGTGAATGGGGATCTGGGACGCCGGGCGGCGGAGGATCGGAGAAACGAGGCTAGGAGCCTCCGGGAAGCCATGGCGGAGGAATTTGTGATCGGAAAAATTCGATTGGGAGAAAAGAGGAGAGATGAAATTGGGTGAGTGGTGAAGTGTAGGGTTTGGTGCGACCAATGAGGTAAATGTGAAGTTAAAGAGAGGGAGAGAGAGAGATGAGAAAAAGCAGGGCAGTAATGGCGGACCCTAAATTGATTTTCACATTTTACTCTCTCCCATTCCACAGTGAAGAAAGAATCGGCAAACGCTACGCTGCACTGTCGGGGGTTTGTTTTCTTGTTTTTTTTTTTTTTTTTTCGTGGCTTTTGGGCTTTAATATGATGTCCTAATCGATCGATTTGGACTATAGTTCAAAAATAAGCTCAGTTTATTTGTTTAGGTTTTATTGGGCTTTAATGTTTTAAAATTCATAGAACTAGGACTTAAAAATGTATTCATTTTAAAAAATTATAGCTTTCTTCTTTCTATGATTTACTTTTAAATTTTTTAAAAATATATTAATACAGTTTTATATATTTATTATTTTTATATTTATAGACAATTTTCTATATTTTATATTTTTTAAAAAAAAATATTCTCTATATTTCATATTAAAAAAAAAAATTCTAACAATTCACAAAACAAACGCACCAATAGATAAAATTATATTAAGGTGAACACATATTAAAATGTAATACTCCATCTGTCTCAATACAATAGTGGTGTTTACTATTTTTGTTCGTCTATTTTCATTTCGATAAATAATCATATCACTGTTAAACTACTTTTACTCTTTCATTATTTTTACATAATTATCACTGTTTTTTACACTAATACACTCACAAAGGGCAAAAAAATCTTTTATCCGTACTTTTTACCCACTAACAATATAATATCAATATTCTTTAAATATCGTGTCAAACACAATCTAAACTATAATTTTGAGACGGGGGAGTAATATTTTAATATTAAAATGAAGTAAATAAAAGTTAAAATTAAAATATTATAAAAAATTTATTAAATGATTGATATAAAAATAGTAAAGTAAATAGAAAAAAAATTTATTACTCTTTCCGTCTCATAATTAGGTATCCATTTATTTTTTGCACCGTAGTTTTAAAAATATTAGTATTATATTGGGATATAATATGAATAAAATAGAAATAACTAAAATAATTTATTAATATGGTGTGATATAAAGGTAATGACATTTGTGTAATATATTGTAAATTGTAAGGGTATTCTAATGTTATGTAGATAGTACAATTATTAAGAAAAGAAATTGATACTTTGTTATACCATTGATTAAAATGAAAAAATAAATAGTTTGTTACGGAACAGATAGAGTATTATTTATTAAAATAGTAATAAAATTACAAGCGAATAAAATTATTTATTATAAATATTGTATATAAATTTGGCACACGTTTCTACGTTATTAAAAAATATATATATGTACGTTACAATATATATAAAAACTTAAATAAAAAAAATATAATTAATAAGTAATTAAAAAATATATTAATAAATATAATTATTATATAATAAAAATAATTATATATTAAAAAATTATAAATTATAAAATTTAAAATATAATTAAAATATATAATTTTTTTTTTTAAAAAAATGTTATTGGACAAACAGAAATAGTATCATTCAATATATATTTATTTTTACATACTCACTGGCGGATCTATGTACCCCACTTGAAATTTTATGTATATTAATTATTTAATTTACTTGTAATTCATATATTCAAATAGCAAATTATATTTATAAATTTATTTTTTAAAATTATTTGAAGAATTGTGATTTTAATAAAAAAAAAATCTTAATTAATTATATAATATATTAATTTTTTTTTCTATTCAAGTTCTAATTTTTCTTTATTTTTATATTACTCTAAAATGTTACAAATAATAATATAATTAAATATTTTTAATGTATAAAAATGCCTAAAAAATAATTATAATTTATCCTTTATATATTATAATAATAATTTATTAATCTATTTGAAAGTACGGTTGGATCCGCCACTGACTATACTCCTTCGTCCATAAATTAACGATCTACTTTAATATCCAACAATTATTGTATTTTTTTATTTTTATACATATAATTTATTTTTATTTTTACTTTATTTATTATTATTTTTTTTATACACAAAATAAAGAGGACAAATTTATATTTTATAACCAAAATTCTAATTGTGATACAAGGAAATATAAAATTGTCAGGAGACTATTAATCTTCAGTATTTCCAAAATTTTGAGCATTAGAGCGATCTGAAAATCCATAAAATCCCGCCTGCTCGAATTCCGATCCTTCTAGTAGCAGAAAGCCCAAAAACCCTACCGGTCCAGAATTTCTAATTCTCCATTTTTGATTCATTGAAGTTGCAGGAACCCTAGCTGAGTCTGAGATTGGCAATTTCGTGGAGAGGCGACATGGGGAAGGCTGAAGACAGAGAGGAACTGAGCGGAGCATTCAACGAGCTCGCGAACGCCGTACGCGATTTTTTTCAGGTTTGAATTTCGTCTCCTCAAATTTGGGTGGGGATTCTGTTGCGGTTTGATAGAGGACTGTGTTCTTCAGGTGTTCGATCATATGCCATTTGCGTCGCTTAAAAAATCTGACTGGAAGGAGGTGATTGAGCTGTCTGATGCACTGTACAGACACGCCACCACAGGTCTCTCTCTCTTCTTCTCCATTTCTTCCATGGCATCTGCTTATGATTTCTTTGCCGCTTTCCTCTTCGCCTTATGAAATTAACAGCTGAACTGTTCTTGAGGAAATTTTGAGAACTGATCTTTGAAGATTATTGATGATGATGAGGATGATGATGAATTTAGTTTATAGTTTATCTGAAACCCTAATTCTTGAGAAGTAGTTAATATGGAGGAATTGTGAGCTCTATGATGATTCTTATGGCGATTTAGGGTTTCCCTGCAGAGATGAATTGCTTCACTTCATTTAGCATTTGATTGTCATGAATCTTGCCGACGAATTATTCGTTCTTTGTAGATTACTAATGTTGTACACCATTTTCGCGAATGATCTACCTTCTTGATGTTGTTGAGTTGTTTAAAGTTTAAACCATTAGCAATGGTAGGTGAAGTTGAAGTTATCATAGAACAAGAAGTCTTAACGCTTTTCAATATGTATTACAGTAAAAGGTAAGAAAACCAGTGTTACCAGAAGGATTTTCGACTGCATAATGAGACTACATTATTGTGTTTTTCGAAAATATTGCACAGAATCCCCTAAAAGAATTTGCATTAGGCTCTCCCTCATGTTTTCGATACTTTGCACATAATCCTCTTTCGTACAAAGTTTTCAAGAACACAAGGCAGATTTGTGCCGTTTCTAAATCAAACTACATAAGTATGTATCGGCACTGTATTATTATTCAGTGGATGAGTTATCAGTGTTTCTCTATGTCTCTGAATGTAGTCGGATTTCTTTGCACGGCGGATACCCCTGGAGTCACTATTCTCAAAGAAGCCATGTCTGCACACATCAATGCATTGCAAAGCTTCCTTTTGGTGTCCCATGGAAGCACGGTGGGTGCAGGACCGACCCTCTTTTCTTGCATTCGTAAAAATTCCAAGCAAGTTGTTGATACCACTCTCATGCTATTAAAGGAAGTAGTCTCCGCATACGGTACCTCCCTCTTCCATTCTCTCTCTTTCTCTTGTGTGTATATGTACGACTTGCCTAAAGACATGGTAAAGAAGTGTTGATTGTTAAGACTAAAATCCCGATATCATTTTCACTTGCCTTGTAAGAATTATGACCTGCCCTTTACATTTTTGTCTCGGCAAAATGTTCTTCTGGCTAAGAATGAAGATGGAGCCTAAAGAAGCAGGTTTTTAGCCCAATTTTGACGGGCCACTTACATTAGAATTTTGATGCTCGAAAACTAGAGGAAAAGTTAGAATTTGATCTTGCTAAAGGTGAGTTTTTTCTTTCAATTAACACACTAATTGTCGAAGAAACTAGAAATGTTCATGTGCTGTGAATATACACGAATCTTTCTATATAATCGCCTGCTAAACTGGTCGCCTAAGTCGTTGATAAGTGTACATAATTCGACTATAGGATTTGTTGATTGTGGCATTTTATCCTGTTTAGTACGGCACCTGTTAATCGGTGCATTGAATCTGCTGTAAATAGGGAGTTTATGTCGTAAAGCAACTCCGGATTCAATCAAATCTATTCTAAAACCGAACTTAAAATTTTTCTACTATATCACAGCCATTTTTACTTGGTTTAAGTTCATCGTGTGGCCTGCAGAAACATGTTCGATTATATCATAATTCAATGGTGTTCGATTTCGAACCATTTCTCCATCGAGCTACTAGTTGATACGACATGAAGTCTTTTAAACTATTGTAATGTTCTTCTGAACAAATTTTCAGGATCAGAGAGTAAATCCCGGAAAGATTCGATCCCACAACTTGTAGGTGTAGCCTGCGAAGCTTGTAACGCAGTGAAAAAGACACCGACAACTAATGTTACAGCTGTGGGACGAGCAATGACAGAAGTTTCAATATCCGTTAAGGATGTCCTCCGGGAATTGAAGGAACTGAAGCCAGCTTCGTACGAACCACCGACCAAATCCTCCGGGGAAACCTCTACTACTAAAACAGAAGATAAATCAAACAACGATGCTGGTTCGTGCGACGGAGATTTGGGGTCGAATTTGTCGCCCGAAGAGATGAAAATCGCCGAGATAGCTACAACAGCCGTCTCCGAATTGCTGGCAGTTATGAAAGAGTTGATTCGATGCATCACTGCAATGCTTCGACGCGAAAACGCCAAACAGAGCTCTGTTTCAGTCGATTCCCTGGAGAAACTCTTGAAGCTCTGCCAGGGAATCAGCGCCGAGGTCGACAACCTCGGAGCGTGTCTTTATCCACCACAAGAAATCCCGGCAATCATTTGGGCCGTGGAAAAGATTTCCCTCTCCGTCGAGGCAACCCAAACAGAGCTGCAAAATCTTAAAGGTTCGACGAAGGATTTCACCCGGGCTTGCGATACATTGAAGAGCTCATTGACACGATTATCACGTGCCATAGGCTCGGAAGGCGACGACGGAAATGTTCTCCGAAAATTGGAGAATCTTGATGTCTGAAATTAGACCGCGTTGCCGGTGTCTGGGGGGGGGGGGGGAGTATATTCTTGTTTTTGTGTAGCTATTGTCCGTAGGTACCGATGTAATATTCCGACATGAATATGGTTCAGACAAAGACTGATGTTTCTGTCCTGAATGATCGCATCGTTAGATACTAAGTAGTGATTCCAACAAAGACTAAATATACTTCCAAGAATTCATTCATGGCCAGACACAAAACTTCCTTTGTAATGTCCAAATGTAGAACTAAGTTCCTATTTTTTGTTGCTATCAAATGTATGGGAATTTTAGTCCTTTCCGCCAGCTGTGTGTCCCTATATATATACACATATAAATATATATGTATATATATAGATGATTAGAATTTTTCTAATTTCCATCAGAAAATTAGAATGGCATGTTTGTCCCACAGTGTAAGTTTCTGTATCACTTACAGAACAGATCAAAAGCCAAAGAAACAGAGCTTTGTTAAGTGTGTTAATGTCATCAATGGGACAAAACTACTGAGCCAAGAGCAAGCTGAGAGCCTGCAGATTCGACAGAATATACCGACGAAGAAGCAGTTCGTCGATCCCTATCGACAGGGGATTATAACGGAAGAGGAAGCACTTTACAGGCAGACGGTGGTCGTAAGATCCTACGAGGTCGGGCCTGATAAAACCGCGACGATAGAAAGCATTCTCAACTTGCTTCAGGTAATAAAAGCTACTGGTTTCTAAAACTATCAATGAGATAGCGATGATCGAAACATGTTTCGATCTTGTTTATGACAGGAAACGGCGCTGAATCATGTCTGGATGTCGGGGCTACTTGGTGATGGATTCGGCGCCACACATGGGATGATGAGAAACAACCTCATTTGGGTCGTTTCGAGGATGCAAGTTCAAGTGGATCACTACCCAATCTGGTACACAACTCGACTATACTAAGTATCCGATTCCAGGACATTAAACTACCTCTACTACACTGACAGTGTTTGTAATGAAAAAACAGGGGAGAGGTGATGGAAATCGACACATGGGTAGGGGCGTCGGGGAAGAATGGGATGAGGAGAGACTGGCTACTCAGGAGTAAAGCTACAGGCGTCGTATTCGCCCGGGGGACAAGGTTAATCACATTTTCTTATTCTTATGTTACTACGGATTCGTATGTAAATCAACTAAAAAGGATTCGGGTTCGCGAACAGTACCTGGGTGATGATGAACAGGCAGACACGGCGTCTTTCCAAAATGCCGGATGAAGTGAGGGCCGAGATATCGCCATGGTTCATTGCAAAACAGGCAATAGAAGAAGACAGCCCTGAGAAAATAGACAAAGTTGGAGAAAATGCTCAATACGAACGTTCAAACTTAAAGGTAAGAAACAAAAACAAAAACAAAAACAAAACCACGTCTATTAGCATTCTAAATGTTAAAATAACTAAGATGGACCTGAAGATACTGTCATTAATGCAGCCGAAAAGAAGCGACTTAGACATGAACAATCATGTGAACAACGTGAAGTACGTTAGATGGATGTTCGAGGTAAAAACTTTCTACTATTGCACTAAGAAATGGGTAAATGAATGAACCTTGACAGTTTCCGAATGAACCGTTTTCAGACCATTCCTGACGAGTTCTTGGAGAGTCATCAGCTGTCGGAAATAATACTAGAGTACCGGAGAGAATGCGGGAGCTCGGACGTGGTGCAGTCGCTAAGCGAGCCTCAAGAAAGTGGCCTGATAAAACCTGGAATTCAGCAATGTAACAGCACTAATGTGAACGGACACAGCTCATTATCGCATACAGGAATTCTCGAGGGAAATGGGCTTCTGGGATTAGTAAATCAGTTACCTCGCAGCTACATTCACCTTCTTCAGTTAAAAGGGGAAACAAAAAATGAAGAAATGGTGAGGGGAAAGACAACATGGAAGAGAAAGCACATTTACCAACCATTTTCAGTTCCCCCGTAAAATGGCGAAGTCAGCAACTAACTTTTCCATGCTTCAAGGTCCTGAGTCGGCGCTAAGGAACAGATTTATTAGGCTGCAAAAACAACTGAAGAAGTGGGAAAAGCAGACTGTATATGTACACAAATAAATGTGAAGGGTGTATGAGCAATGTGTGTGCATATATATATATAATTATACATACAATATATTACAGGACTTGCAGAAAAGATATTAGTGCAGTGTTCGATGCAAGCGTACGATTATTGTAAAATATCCTCACTGAATATATATCATAGCTATGTCATTACATACACTATAAAGCACAAAAAAGAATGATAAATACATAGTCTCCATCTGTATAAGCAAAAATGGTTATTCTAGCTATATAAACTGATCTTTACTGCATTTTAGGATCTAAAAAAGCACATAATCGTTTCCCATGTAAGACAGAGGTTATCTAAACTGCAAAACAAAGAGTGTTTACTATTTACAACAAGTGATAATTACCAAGAAAATGAACAAAAGCTTAATATTTCTAATGACAATGGAAAAATAAATATAATTCTTCGACTTATTCCTGCTTTCTTCTAATTGACCTGTGGAGTTGCCATGACGACCATGCACCCAAGAATGTCACAAGTCCAACCCCAACACCACTCCAGAATATAACCAGCCATTTGGGCATGGGATTAGGAAACAATCCTGGAAGAGAACAAACCATATATTAGATGATTTTGACCAAAAAAAAAAAAAGAAGTATAGAAGTAAGACATGTCCAGGCGACGAAAACAACGTAGTTGGATGTCAAAACTGTAGGAAAATGTACCGTGTCCAAACTTGACACAAATAAGGAGTTCCACAATGCAGATAGCAAGCGAGAGCCAGCAAAAAGATCCCACCTTTTTCATGGGTTTTCTGTTACGGACAAAGTAGTATTGTAGTAAGTGTGAAGCATTAGGAAAACCAAAGTACTTTTATGAATATAGTAAAGCAATGTAGGAGAATGTGCTATTGGGGGAATACCTGTCTTGTAGGTAAGAATTGTACTCGCGGATAGTTGGTATTGCAATTAGCCACCACAGAACCAGCCTGTAAGTAATCAGGGGGTTTCGAGGAGGAATCCAGAGGCAGAACTTCAGAAAAAATGTATTTAGCTCTACTGTCAGTAAAATAATGCACAGGCTGAGAACTTGAACAAATCGAAATGGACCAAGAAAAGGGTGCCATTCATCTTTATCCCATCTAGCAGGCGTAAATTGTCCCAGTGTTCGTTTAACCTGACAGGCACAAAAGATGCAATAAGTGTCTTGTTTTAGATCATAACAAGAAGCCCTCAGGCCTCAGCATTATAGCAAACAAATAGTAGGTTAGCAGTTCTGTCACAAATTTAGAGCTAAAATATACAGATGTAGCATACAGTCCAAGAAAATATAAGCTAAACCAAGCATAACACAGTTAGAAACAGTCTATGGCTCAAACTGCAAAGATGGAGCTGAAAATAAATTACCACTGTTTAAATTAACTGGAAGCTTGAATTTTTCAACATGTAAATGATTAATTGAGTATAGGAAATGGAATCATCTCTAATCCTTGTTTCCTTCAAATTTGTACGCACAAGACAAAATGGTTGCTTAACTTTAGTATGATGTAACTAAAAGTGAGCTAATTATATATTTTGAAAATTTTCACCACGCATCTTGAGAGTGAATATACAGAACAATCAACATTGTACAAATCATGAATAGAGAAGGATATCTGACGATCTAGAGGATATTTCACAAGATCTTTTTAAAAAGTAGCTCATGTTGCAGCATTTAGAATGCAAATATCAAACATTAGGTTGAAGTAAATGAAGCAGATCAACATACTTTGCCCATGATATTTGGCTGCCTGCTTATGCCAACCCACTCATAAGTTTTGCCATCAAAATACCGAACAGTACGCATTCCAGCCCAAATTCCTGCAGAGCATAATTTTAACATGTTAAATAGCACCACAAGAATGTTCAAACATATTGGAATAATTTTTCTAATAAGCATCTTCGACGAAATTATGTTCTCAGTTGTAAGTATGCAACTCAACAATCACAAACACCATTCATTGGGCATTGTATAATTAGAAATAACAGGAACTGAAGGATATTTATCATAGGAATGACAATAATGGACTTAAGATGTTGCTCAATTTTCAAATTTCTCAATTTTTTAAGCTTCCCACCTTCAGATGCTAACAATATATATATCAGGGGGGGTGGGGTGGTGTTGGGGGTTGAGGTTTTTGTTTAATACAACTAATAATTTGGTGAACATATCTAATAGTAATACCAAGCAATGCCCTGGAGACAATTAGCCAAACTGTTTAGGGATATGTACCATCCTTGACACCATGAGCAAATTAAACCAGAGATTACGATTGTCAAATAAAAATAAAACCAGAACTCATAACAGGGGTAAAGAGGAAGCTCAGTGCTCCTACCAAACCAATTGCAGATTAATATATCGAGAATAATGCTGTCCCACCAGCATTCATTGAAATTAGGCAACATGTGGCGGAAGGTGAGCTGAAAAACCAAAGAATAATCATCTCAGCAGACTGCCTCTATATATGACAATTAATATAGTGGCATGAAACTGATAAAAACAGACCTCCATTAACTCAAATCCAATTGAAAGTACCCACAGAAGAGGCTGGTTTCGGATCATTATTGCCTTACCCCACCATCCCAGTATGTGAGCCAGAACAAACTCATCAAAAAGGGTATCCTAAAAATAAATTTAGCACAAGGTTATGTGTATGTATAACAAATAATAAGAAACAGAAGACATGAATATGGGGAAAACTGTACATACATAAACATTCTTAAACCTGCTTGTTGGATTTTCTTCAATGTAAATTCTACAATCAGAGCCATATGATCTTTCTGGAAGTTCTGCATCACATAAATTGGATTATTAAGCATATGCTAATAATATTGTCTGCTTAGAATTGAAACAAAATAATTGTATACATTATCCCAACCAAAACAGAGAACTACGCCTGTTTCAGGAACAAGTAGGAGAAAGACTTACCAATACCAAGATCAGGATGTAGAAGTTTCATAAACTGTCGAGCATCATCCCTTTTCTGGAAATGAGAAAAAATGACATGATGCTTGAAATTTATTGGAGAAAAGCGAACCAATAAAACAAGAAACTAGAAGTGTAAGTATGAAGCAGTTAAGATATATTTCTCAAGAAAGATATAGGAAAATACAACAATAAGTTGGTCAGGCTACATGGATTGTATCCATCTTATTAATACACGACTGTCTGGCTATCCTCTACAATCATATGGCACACAGAAAGCCAAGAATTCTTTTTGTTAATATAGAAGTGAAATGTATATTTCTTGTATCTACTATTTATGCATCTGCATAATCAGTAAACACTTATCCTAGGATGAACAAACAGGAACTAAAGAAAAGCTGTTCCCCTGACGGATTTGCTTTGGAGCTTGCACCTCAAAAATACAAACTTTATGCAGATTTAAAGGGAGGGTTGGGAAAGAAGTGTAATTGATGTTCCGAATTTCTTCACAATATAAAATACTTGGATTACATCAATCAATCACTGGAAACAATAAGCAAAAAAAATCTAACCTGGAAAAGCAAAAATGTTAATGCAACAAGGTAAATAACAGCCATTCCATGGACCAGGCGCCATATTGCCGGATGTGGCCGGATAAGAAGTCTGCCAATGCAAGCATATCAGGTATGGATTATGGGCAGCATGACTTTTCAATATAACGTCAACAAAAAACTGTGATCATGCTCAACAATAATTTGACTAATACTGAAAGATTAACATCACCAAAATGGCGTTTTTAGTTATTAGGAAGCAAATAACCTTTGTAGTTATTAGGAGACAAGTACGGATGTGGAAATAGAATTAATATTTTAAGACTAGGCAGCACGACAAAAAAAATATCAAAGAGTAGAGAAGAGAATAATGCATTGTTATGACAGGCTCAAGTAGATTGAATAGGGGAAAAAGATATGTAAACAACTCACGTAGAAGGAGCTTGTAACAGACTATAAGCAAGAAATACGGCAATCATTGCCCATACACCCCTACAAAGGTAATTATCAGTAGTTAAAATCAATATAAGAAGTGTAACAATGAACATTTTGAAAAAGGCAATATGATATCGCTTGTAGAAAACCTTTTCACAGAGGTAACATCACTTTCTGGACTGCGTTCTGGATCAAGAGCTCCACTTGCCCATCTTGAAAGAATCCCAAATCGAAAATTTTAGAACAAGCGAATTATAAGGAAATTTTCTGAATCACAGAAATAATATATATGAAAACAGAAAACTGAAGCTATCAACTTAAAGCAACGAAAACAATCAAAATTTATATATATGCATACATGATTCCATGATCAACTATAACATATGAACATTGGAGTATGAAAATGCATATACAGGTAAAGATTATACTTACACAAGAAAGCAAGCACCAATCAATAATAAAGTAATGGTGCGCGGCTTGTATGCCCAGGCAGTCCATGGATCAAGCTCATCGTCCATAGTCGATGTACTTACATGGCCGTTTTGAAAAATGACCTGGTCCCTCTGTCTAGCTCTTCTATGACCATTCTCCTCCATAGACCAAAATATCTAGTAGTCGGAGCTCTTGCTGTAAATCAAGATGTCAATTAAAGAGATTAAAAATACTCTGCACAGCTGCCATTAACATCTACAAGAACAAGAAGAAACTAAAAAGATATTCATATAATGTAAATATGGTACAAACAATGCATAATTAAGCAATAAATTTCAAATTCATGAAATAAAAATTTCTCCTCAACTTCATTCTTCATAAACAGTTAAATATCATAATCAGCTACCAAGTGCAAAAGTCCACTCCCCCACACAAGACAAAATTCATAAACATTCCTCAAAATCAGTGATATTAAAAACTTCTCTCAACTTTCAGTCAATTAATTAAAGTACAGCACAGCAGTTCGAACAATAGTACGAATCTAATTAAAACTCAACAGCTCTTTCGCCATTAAATTCTGCAAACAAATATCCTGAAATCGACGTCACTGTCAAACCATAAATCAAACAATACCAAAGGACGATTTCGTACATTCATTCATTGCATGCAAACAAGGAAAGCGACGAAAAACACCACCAGCACTTCAGATTCACCGCAGATTCGATTGCAAGTCCGAAAAAACTCCGATTGAATTTCGTAATGTTTAGAACTTATCATTTGAAAAAAATAATAATTTTAATAATAAATTAAACAGCAAATCGCAATCCCAATAAAACAGAGGAAGCAGGAACAGAAAAGCTAAAAGGAAAACTTTACAGAGACATCATTTTTTTATATACAAAAACAGTCCACCACTCCAAATCATACGTGCACACATCCATACATACACCGGCAAGCACATAGTGGCCAGTGATTCAATCATGCTCAAAATGATTCAGCCATCAAACGTGTCGAGTGATTCACTTTTCAGCTCCTTAGTCTCGCAGACAAAGGCTGACAAAGCGATCCCCAGCACCACGATTGGACGAGAAACGAATCTCAGCCGTCGGATCAGCACCCAGAGTCCCAGACCGATTTTAAGAGAGAGAATAAAACACAAAAGGTATTATTACATACATACATACATGGCTTTACTGTAGGGCAACTCACCCCTCGGAACCAAAATTCTCCTCCGCAGCGGCTTCGTATATCGCCGCGGAAAAGGTGGAGGAAGCTTGATTGTGCGGGAATGGCGGCGGCCGGCGGCAAATAGGCGGTGGCGCCTGAGAAGAGGTACGGCGGTCAAAGCAAATACAGAAAGTTAGAGCAAAATTAAAAATACCTTCGCAAGTAGAGTGTACTGTATTTATACGTGGTGGGGTTTTTAACATATTCCAAACATCAGGGATCGGATCACAATTCGCAATAAATGCAAATAATTTTCTTTATTTAATGTATATAATAAATACTCAATCAAATAAATTCATATATATATATATACACACATATATATATAGTACAAATACGATACTTGTGTTTAGGTGAATGGATTTTTTATTATTAATATAAAAATGACTATTATTTTATTTATTCTACTTTTTTTATTAAAATATTTATTTATTTTAATTTTTTCACCAACTCTAAATGGACGGAAGAGGAGTAATTTTTAATAAAAATATTTCTTTTATAAAATATTGAATCAAAATATTATTTAAATAAAAATTTAAATTAATATTTTATTTTAAATTAATTTCGAACTTCAATCAAACAAACTTCATATTATAATCGGATGTGTTTGTTATATAAGTATATTAATTTTTGAAAAATATATTAAAAATAATAAGCATATGTGATATATTAATATTTTTTTAATAATTGTATGTTTAATTTTTGTTAAAAAAAAAAAGAACAATAATATTTATGTATTGTCTTTTAATTTATGTAAATTGTTTGGGTTCTATTTAGATATGTAATTGAGATTTTGGAGAATTTTTAAATAACAAAAAATAATTTTGATAAAAAAGTGTATTTATTTATTATGATATTTTCTAAACCATAAATTTGTTTGTTTGGTGTTTTAATTTGGTATTTTTTAAGTTATGTATAAAATATCAATTAATAATATAAAAAATAATATTTTATATTAAATTTTTTTTGTAAAATAATAAAATATATATTTCTTTCCTATGAAAGGAAAAATTTTGTTGATTTTATGTGTATAAATGTTTAAATATTAATTATTATATAAATATATAATATAGATTAAAAAAAAAATTCTATTGTCACTTATAATTTATACTTGTAGTGTTAATTATTAAATATAAAAGTATTTTATTATTAATATAATAAGAAGAATACAATAGTAATATTATGTATATTAAAAATTATACTTTATCCGTCCCACTTACCATGTCTATATTGTCATTTTTGTCTGTTACACTGTCATTTTCTTTTTTTTAAAAAAAAAATAATTATCCATCTTAATCTTATTTTAAATTTTTAAATTTATTTTTTTTTAAATTTTAATTAAACTAATTAGTTATCTTAATTTTAATTTATAATGATTTATATTATAAATTAATTATTTTCACTAATATATTCTTAATTATTTACTAATTATATTTATTCTAAATTGTTGTGTCAATCGTGACCAAGATATCCAATGTGGGACGTTAAGTCGTTAATAGTATACGGTAAAAATATACTTCCTCCGTCCAGTTAGAAAGTATATACATTTATATTTTAGGACGTCCAATTACAAAGTAAACATTTTATTAAATACTTCACTTTTTTCACAAATACTCTTACTTTATATTACATCATTATTTTTATACCAAAAAATAAGGGCAAAAATGTCATTACACCACTTTTAACTATCTACTATAATTAAAATGTCAAAAATAAATGTATATTTTATCCATGGCCGGAGGGAGTAATTGAACAAACAAGCCAATGATTAAAATATTTTTTTACTATGTGTACATATAACCTTAATTTATGTTTCCAACAATAATAAATTACAATATTTTATTATTACTCGATTGTCTCGAGATTCGAAACCATTATATCAATTGTAATTTGATTATTATTATTATTATTATAATTATGAAAATTGTGAATTTCCAAAACTACCCCTTTCCCTACTTTCACGTCTCTATTAAATGCTACCCAATTATGCTACGCAATTGATTTGATTTTATCGTTCTATTTTTATTTATTTATTTTTAAAATAATATATATATATATATATAAATATAAAAGGGATCACAAAAGCTACTTTTTATGGGCAACTTTTATGAACGGAAAAGAAGGGCCGTGTCTTGATATATACATATCGAAATGTTATTTTTCAATATGTTTTAGTAATTTTAATTTAAAATAATTTTTTTATATAATAAGTATAACAAAATTGTATTAATGATATAAAAATAATATTTTATGCGTCCCACCTACCATGTCCACATTGCAATTTTTGTCCGTCCCACATCTCATGTTATTTTTTTTAAAAATAATTATACACTTTAATGTCATTTTAAATTTTTCAATTTAATTTCTTTTAGTTTTAATTAAACAAATTTCATTTTTTTACTCTTTTATTAAATTTATTTACTATATTTTTACAAGTCTTTAAAAAATAAATATTATATATATTAATGAAATATTTTGAATGCATTGGTTTGTATTTCTATTTTATTTTTATTATTATTATTATTATTATTATTATTATTATTATTGCGATGTATACATAGTTATAAAAAGTACTATTAATATGAAATGATAATTTAAGAACTAATTGAAAATATCAGTATTTTAATTAGCCATTTCGTGTAATTGAATATAAAAATGTAAAGAATTGGTTAATGAATTTTAAATAGATTTATAGATAATTTATATTAAATTTTAAAATTTAGAAATTTCAAAAAAAAAAAAAAATTGATAGTTTTTTAATTTGTTTTTATTTTTTTATTGAAGGTAATGAGTAATAAAGGTAATGAAATAAGTGATTGTAACATATGCTCTCACAGGAATATATTATACTCCTTCTGTCATGCAAATGTATACTCATTTGACCGGGCACGAGTTTTAATAAAAGTGAATAGTAATTGTTATTTTTTTCTTTTTATAATTAAAAAAAGTACAAAATTGTAATAATTTTTTATTTAAAAAAAACGAGAATATTTTTCGATGACAACCGAAAAAGAAAAATGAGCATGAATTTAAACGACGGAGGAGTAATATTTTTGGAGAATGGTGTGTTTTTTGTATATTAAACAAAAATACTATTTTTGTCTATTTTTAATTTGTTGATTTGGTTTTCTTATTTTAATTTTGATTTATATAGTAAATTTGATGTCATATTTTATGAAATGAAATAAGTATATATATATATATACTTGTATATGAAATAGTGAAGATTATAAAGTAAGGGGTGTGTTTGTTTGGGGGATTGGATTGGATTTACACTGTTCATTCAATTTTTTTCTCCTAAAAACATTAAATCAAACACTTATTTTTTATTTTTTATATTATACTAAAAATTAATTTTACATTCAAAACATCACATCAACACCTATTTATAAATTCAAAATTTTTACTATTCAAATCCCATTTCAAAATCCAAACCCCGAACAAACACACCCTTAATAACAAAATTAAAACCAACTACCAAAAACTAACCTTTTATCTATCTGTTTATTTTATTATTTATATTAATAATTTATGTGCGATAAGTCATATATAAAAACTTTATTGACTATTAAATAAATATAGGAATTATTATTATGTAGGGACCCAAATTTAAAAAAATAATAATAATAAAAAATGATACAATAATTCAGACATTGAGTATATTTTTATAAAAAAATTATTATAAACATGATTTTTTTTATTTATTTTTTTGCATAAACTATATGGGAAAAAATGGACTACCCCTATCTGTTATTTAGGGATCTATTTAATTTTTAAAATTAATTAAAGAACAATGATATTTTATATTTTGATATATAGTATAAGTATAAAAATGTATATTAAAGGAAATTTTGATATCTTTATGTAAAATAAAAGTATGAGATTTTTTTAATATTATAAAATTTACATTTACTAAATAAAGTAGCATATATATGGATTTTACGTTTTTTTGAAAAAATACATTTTTTTTTTCTCATAAAATATCTCATCATACATTATAATATCAAATTTAAATAAAAAAAATTTCAAACTCTATCAAAAGAACATACCCCGACGTATTTTGTATACCGTAGGTAGATTTTAGGAGTAGTATATAATAAATAATTAAAAGATATATTACTAAAAATAATTACAACATGATATAAATAATTATAGATTAAAATTAAAATAACGAATAGATCTAATTAAAATAAAAAAATTATAAAATTTAAAATTTAAAATACGATTAAAATGTAATTATTTTAAAAAATAAATTGAATATGGATGTGTGATGGACAGAGAATTTACTATCAGAATATATTTTTGTAGAAAATATCCAAATAAAAATATTAAATAAAAAATCAAAATAAATAGAATGGCGAACCCTTTGAATATGTTATTTGTAGATGCAATTTTGTTTTGAATTTTTAATATAATAACTAGTTATTCAAATATTTGTTATAAAAATAAATTATATAATAGTGTATTTTAATAAAAAAAATACATAGAATTGATGTTTGATTTTAAACATGGATCTCATTTTGCTAATTTTATAGAAATAAAAATAAAATAAAATATCTTAAATAATTTTTTTTAATAAAAATAAATAAATAAATAATTGATCAAATTAATTTATAGATTTTTTAAAAAAAATCGATAATAATTTATC